ACATGTGCATGTATGCATGCATGTATGTATGTACGCATGTCTTCTATCTGCGTGTACGAATGCGTGATAGTAGTTATCATGCATTCTGTTATGTAGGTATGGAGGTGTATAGTCAAGCAGCATGCACAAGTACTTGTACATGTGCATCTATGCATGGCATGTTGAGATATGTCTGTGTTTGTGTGTGTGAGTATGTATGTGATTGTGCGCCAGCGAGCGAGTGTGTGTGTGTGTGTGTGTCTGTGTGTCTGTGTCTGTGTGTCTGTGTGTGTGTGTGTTTTCGTGTATATGAGTCTATATAGGTATGCGGAAAGGATATGCATGCACCCATACATACACATGTCGCTTTCGTTCCGGAAGCAGTCCCTAATGCTGTCGAGCCACAGTCGTTCGACGATCCCAGACCCTGGGCTTCGCACAAGCTTGATTCTTGAACCACAACAAGGGCGAAGAAGGCTGACTACCACATGCAGCAAGTATGAGTTCCCAAAGGAGTATAGCGGCGCAGAGCTGCTGCTGTTGTTCGACTACAGAACCTACGAGTGACATGGCTCTCTGGTGGCACTGCCACCGAAAAGAGTGACAGCAATAGGGATCATACAAATTAGTACTAGCAAAGTCGTTAACAGAGATGGACAGCAAAGAAACAAGTCAGCGCAATGCTCTGTAATGCCCGCTGCTCCTGACGTCTTCAGATCAAGCATCCAATCTAGTGGGGAGTGTATGCTTTTAAGTCCGCATCCTAAGTTGAGATCAGCCGAGGACTGAGGAAAACGACCACGAAAACGAAAAGAACCGAACACGGGTTGGTTCTTCTTATCGCCACCGATACCACCACCACCACCACCACCACCACCACCACCACCACCACCACCACCAAAGCAACAGTGGCGAAAACGACAAAAACGACGACGACGACATACTGCATAGTACTACTGCTGCTGCTGCTGCTACTACTACTACTACTACTGCTACGACGTCGCACTGCTGCTTCTCCCATCGCCCCGTTTTGCAGCTGACCGGTTCACACCCGGCATGGAACCCATACACATCACAAGAACAAAGTGACCTCGGTCTTCGCCCAACCATTCTTTCTAGCTCCGCCTCGCTTACGGCCAAGGGCTTTAAAACTGACCGTTGGCGCATGCTAGTGCTCTGTTTCGAGCCCCCGCAATTTAAAATGTCTCGCCTTGGAAGCCCCAATTACCAACTCACCTTGTTCCAGCATGCCGTGCCGCTCTGAGTGGGGAAGGTCGCTGCATGTCGGTGACTCCATGCCTGGACTCATCAATATTGGAGTTTCCGAATATTGGGGACCCTAACGTATACCCTAAATATTCGAATGCTTATGACCAGGACACCAAAAATAAGTCACCCTAATTGTCGGAAACTCCCAGAAGTCCCAAACCCTCAGAGCCAGATGCCAAGCGCTGAGCACTGAAACACTAGCAACAAACCTTGGGCCACGAGTCCCACCGTGCAAGCCCTAAATGGGAGTTTCAGAAAATTAGGGGTACCTAGATTGGGGTCCTTATAAAGAAGGATCCTACTATTTTCAGTGTACTCTATTAGGGTCAACCATTTTCGAAAACTAAATGACAACAACCCCATACAACCCCACGAAACCACCATCTGAACTCTAAACCCATAGCAAGTGAAAACCGTCAACCCATAAACACCATCTCCAACCTAAACACTAAACCCTAAGCCCTACACCCTTAAACCCTAGAACTTTGAACCCTAGACCCTTGAACCCCTAAAGCCGTAAACCCTTAAACCCATCAACTCCAAAACCCTCGACCGCTAAACCCCCTGTAGAACCCTTTGAGGAACCCTGTAACAGGATCCCCTCAAAGCAACCCTGAACACTAAACCCTCAACCCCTAAACCCCTTCTAGAACCCTCCAAGAAACCCTATAACGGGATCCCTTACCTGAAAGGGATCCCTCAAAGCAATCCTAAACCGCCCTGAACCCCTACTCTAGGGGCCTTGATAGTTAAGGTTAGGGTTTTGGGGCCCATGATTGTATACTTATAATAATGGCCCGTAACGACCGCCACCCAACAAAAAGTGTAGGTAATTTTTTCGGCCCAAATACTAAAATCGGATAAACTCGGAGAGGCTTCTACTGAACCCTTGGTGCTCTTCATCTCAGCGGCACTTCCTTTCCTTTCGAACGGCTTGGATCATGTCTTCGTGGCTCCTCAGGCTGTGTAAGACTATAGTGGCCTTAACAGGTAGAATGAGGCTTGGGGTGTACATTATAGTAAACTGTTACGAAACAAATATGACATGTACTACCCCCAAGAAGGAATAAAAAGGGATGCAAGAACCAATTACATCGATCCCTACAGCTCCAGACTCTGCAATCCGGTTCCTCGCCTCTACACGAACCCGAAAAGTAACCCTCATAAATCGTTCCTTGAAGCTGCTGGCCCAAAGCCTGCGATGTAGAGTTGCAGAACATATCGGACCCTCAGATGACCTGAACCACGAGGACCCTCAGTATATGGAGATAGTAGCCCAACCGGCAAAAGGCCAGGACCTTGTTACTTGGAAAATTCAAAGACCCCAAGCCCAAGACCCTCAGCCTCAGCTCCCACCCCTCAAACCCTGAAGCCTTATTGTCAAAAGACCCGAGATTGGGCTTTGTTGAAGGACTGTATTGCTAAATTACGGTAATCATGATAGTTGCTGTGTATAGAAAAACAACAGCCCAAATGGGATTTTCCGACAATAGGGGACCCTAATATAGTACCCTAAATAGTAGGACCCTTATTATAAGGACCCCCAAAAGAAGGTACCCCTATTTTCGGAAACTTCCAAATAGAATTTGCATGTAGAGACCTGGTGAAGCCCTTCAGCGGATGCTACCAGGGAGCGGAAGAAACTCTGCGTCACCTTGGGAAGATTGAAACGCGATCAACAGCTTATGTCAAGATACAGCTCTTGTCTGAAGACCTTCAAGTTTAGGATGATGTTCCGGGGTGTTCAAGTTATGTAGGCCTTCTAGGTTGCCGGGGTTAGATCTTAGAAAGATCTTTTAGGTTCGGGTTGCGGCTGAAGCATCTGATGGTGCCACGCAGGTTCAGGCCAATGTGTGCCATGAAGCTGCCCCAAGACGGCTTAAAAGCGACCAGGAAAACTATCAAGCTGAAGGAGCTAGAGACCGTTCTTAAAGTGATCCCCAACCTTCTGCTTACTGCCTTTCCAGAGAACATGTATTAAGGTCTTTACCTCTGTCAGGTGCAGAGGACCCTGCATAGATTCAACCATCCGAGGTACTTAAGGTGATTACATCGGGATGAGTTTCAAAACTGCCAGCACTGCAGCAGAACATTCGGCCCTCTTCGTTTCCGGATACGTACTTACAAGACATACGTACATACTTCCCTGCAGACAGACAGGCGGCCAGGCAGACAAACAAACAATCATCCAACATACATGCCTAACCTTCATACTTGACATACAGAACGTGCATTGCATTACATTAGAATAGCTAATACATCCATCCATCCATCCATCCCTCCGTCCATCCATCCTTCCAGACACACCCACACATACGTACCCAGGTACCTGCATACCCCAAAACTATATTGGCAAAGTGGTACTACTTGGAGACCCAGACATTGGGGGGAAACGGAGAAACCAAAGGGAACCGTAAAGACCAGATCCCCCTTTTAGCTGGAGATTGTGGTGGCTCAGCGGCTCTTCACCCAACCTACGCTTTAGCGCATATAATCCAGCACTTCAGGGGTGATGGTCAACCATCAGACCCAAACCCTTCTGCTGCCAGGCAGCGGGAGATCACGCCAAAGGTTGCCATTAGGCAGATGCTGTGCAAGTCTACTGCTCTTCGTTCACAAACCAAACAACAGTCCCGGCACTCACTGTATCATCAACGGTGATACTCCAAGATTCTGGTTCCCAAAATCCTTATCCGTTGCACATCTTACCACCGAGTGCCTGCCTGGGCCGACAGACAGCGAAAAGATCACAGCTTGCGCGCTGCCGCCCCATGCCGTAACAGTCTAGAAGAAGGGCACTGTTAAGGGCCCTATGCATCTATCTTTGCGTTTTAACTGTCAGTGAATATATGCGAGTCCCAGCAGCCATGCAGCCTTACTATAGGGGCCTTAATAAGTATAATAGGGTTTGGGAGCCCTTTGTAATCTGCTAATAATAGAGAACCCCCCCAAAAAAACATAGTTTAGGTAAATATTAAAGGCCCCTCTCCAGTATCTGCGGGGGGAAACTCAAACTCGGGAGTCCCTCTTGCGGGACTCAAAGATGCAACTGCTTTCTGAAATGCCTACCCAGAGAGCCCAAGAATTACTCCTTAATCAGGCAGTATAGCCCAAATCATATATATATATATATGAGTCCCCCTATAATTTAAGGTCTATTCCTTCATTCAGGGGTATTGGGCTCTCTGGGTATGTGAGGGAGGATTCGAGGTTTGGGAGGGTCTACTTGGAGGGTCTTTAGGGGACTTAGTAAGTAGGTAGTACGTAGGCTTGTAAGTACCCTAAAAGGGACCCTAATTGGGGTTATGGTACTTACAAGTCCCTAAAATAACCAGTTGCTAAGTCCCCCGACCCTCCAAGTAGGGAGCTGGCTTAGGCGTGGGCCTGGCGCTGAAAAAAAGATCCAAACCCACCAGCATCACTGGAGGATTTCGGAGGTGTTCGGTAGGGTACGGTAGGGTAGGGAGGTGTTCCCGAGGTGTTCCGAGTTTGGATATGGATGAGTTGAAAAAATAAGGTAAGGAATAGAAATGATGTGACCTTCACCCTAAACACCAAGCACTACAGCCCTTAACTGCCGTCATCTCTAATCGCGCGCAACATGAATCCCGAAGCGTATCAACCACAAGCTCTAGAACCCTACGCCCCGAACCCAGGTAGAATAGAATGCTCAACCACAAAATCTCAACACTGGCCACAAATAACCTCAATCGTAAAGAAATTGAAAGCCCTTCGTGGTCTTGGCCATCCACGCAATCGCTTTGAGGCGTCCTTGATGACCCAGTCCTGATTCGACAAACTCGCGGGGAAAGGGTGAGGCTTCAACAGTTTAGGGCTTGGGGTTTAGGGTTTCGGAGTATAGAGGTCGGGTTTCAGGGTTTAGTATCATACCACCGCTTTAAGGTGTGTGAGGGGTGAAGCAGCATGCTGCGCAAGTATGGCTGGCATGTTTTGAACACATTTGCCCCGTACCATAAAACTTGACTAGAAAGCTTTGTGAGCTGGGCAACAACGGGCCATAAACCCTAAATCTTAAAACCTCCATCCATCAATGTCTAAGGCCCTATAAACCCTAAACCCCTAAACCCTAGTCTAAGGCGTCGTCGTTGTTGTTTCTGCGTCGGGCTTAGTGTCTCGGAGACTCCCAGCGTTTTGGCGACACTTAGCAGGCTTGTCTCGGTACCCAAACTGAGCTTGAAGCACCTTCCAAAATCAGGCTTAAATCCTAGACTTCTAAAGTTCAAAGACCGCTTGGAACACCTAGTAGGCCCCTCGTAACACGCCCTTGACGAAGGAGCCCTTGAAGCCCTAACAGCCTTGAGTTTAGAACCCTAAACCCTCAACCCTAAACCCTATACGCGATATTTGTGCAAAGCCTCGTCTCGAGGCCGACCCTTGGACGCAAGGAAAAGGGCACTGCATTAAAAAAAAACCTATACGCCCCTAAACCCTGCAGGTCTTGGGATTAGGTACCGGTGCTTTGAGGGGCTCCCGGGTTCAAGACCGTGGGCATTGTTTGGCAACCTTCACTTAACCACCCTACGAACCAAGACTCCCAACTTTTACACACCCAAACCTGGAAACAAAACGCTAAAGACTGCGCCTGAAACCGCAAACCTCAGCCCTATACCCACAACACTGTAAGCTTCGCGCCACACGGCGAGTTGCCAGATTCTCCACTTCTAGAATCGCACTGCGGATCCGAGTGTTCTCCTGGCTTGAGTGAGTTGGCTGTCAACGTCTCAAGAGCTCAGAGTCCAGGGTTCAGGGTTTAGAAGTTCAGGGGTTTACCTGCGACATCCCAAGCGCGTATCTCTCTTCGTTCAGGTATTTCAAGCTTAACAAAGTCATACAGGAAGCAATCTAACACAAACGGTCACAAGTGCGGTGGGAGCAGCACCAACCACCCCGAAACAGTAAGGATTCCCTGCCTGGAGCAGATTACTTGACAAAGCATTCTCTGTCTCTCCAACGTCATCAGCCATGGAGGCAGGGAAAGGCCCAAATCCTAAAATGTTGCGGCCGCCGACAGCCTGCGCAACCTACCCGTTTCCCCAGCTCCTAGCAAAAATTTTACCTCTAGTATTGCTCACAACTAACTGGCCCAAAACGCAAGGAAATAAAAGTTGAAACTTTCAGAACCGACCACCTTCTAAGAACCCCCCAAAATTGAAAAGTTGAGTTTACAGCCCATAAGTTCATGGCTATACCCTAAGCCCTAATATAAACCTTAAACCCATAGTTCCTGACAATAAACGAAACCCGACAACCACAGTGCAATGCAAACTTCAAGACCGAAAGCATGCGTCGCCCAGTTTTCTTGAAGTACCTCTGGTCTCCATTGTAGTTCCCCTTTAGGATCCTATAATAGAAATTTTTGTTAACCAAACAAAGGAACTACAATGGAGACTTGAGGTAAATACAAAGCCCTTTCATCAGACCTGCTTACCTAGGAGTCCATGTACCTTCGCTGTATCTGCTTGCGTCTCAAAGAGGGGCTCCTGATGTTTAGTCATAACTTCAGGGCCAAATTATATACATCAAGGTACATGGGTAGTTGTCAAAATTAGGGTCCCTTCTTGGGTCCCTAGTATCATACGGCACCTAGTATTTAGGGTACCCAAAAAAGGGACCCTAACTTTGACAACTACCCACATGGGCCTTCTGCAGCTCCGAAGAAAATCCTGTAAGCCCCAACCAGGACCCTCCTTGTACCCTCAAACAGGGGTATATGGTCCCAAATAAGGGGCATTCAGGGTCTCAGAGAGGGTAGACGGAGGGTCTAGGAACCCTAAACCCTAAACCGAACCCCAAATCTTAAACCCTAAACCCCTGAAACCCTAAACCCTGAGAAAACGGAAGAGAAACCCTCTCTCTCACGCTTGAAGGAACCTTTGAGTCGCTCGGAAGCATGGATTCCGATCGTCCCTGGCCTCGTCCAGCCCGTCCAAGCGCCCCGTCCTCAGTGCAGCTATGGGCTTAGGGCATGGTGACACACATAAACGACCACGAAGGACAGTGTACGGGGGTACCAGCTGACAGAACATGTTGACAAGAACACACATATAAACGTGTGGATAGCGTACACAAATGCAACAGATGCCATCGCATGGAAATTCCACAACCCTCACCCTTAGAAGAAATCAACCATTTCTGAGATAAAGATTCATCCTCAAACTGTACTGGGGACCTACTTGTCGGGTATCATGGGGAACTAAAGGTTAACCTTCTTGGTTATGTAGGGATTATATAGGGACCATACTACCCAAAAAAGGTTAAAGGTTGCCTACTCTACTACTAGGATTAGAAAGGGCTAAAACAAAAAAATGCCGGCCCTTCTCTCGCTAAGCTCCGGGCGCTTCATCCTTGAAGTCGGTGAGGCTCTTGTTGGAGGAATGGCCTTCGTAGGGTTGATGATATAAATCCTGCATTACTTATTACTATGATAAGGAACATACCATAATTCCCATAGTTTAGGGTCCTTCAGGTAGTGCAGGATTTATATCATCAACAGTAGGGTTTAGGGTTTAGTTAGGGATTGATTGGGGTTTAGGGGTTTAGGGTATAGGGATTTTGGATTCGGGTTTAGGATTCCGGGGCTGAGGTCGTTCAAGGTTCGTGCATGTTTGTTGAACGCCCCTTTTCTCCGCATACGATCTGTTCGTGCGGTTTAGGGTTCAGACCATGGGGTAAGATCCCGCATTGGTCAATCGCGTCTGCTGCCAGAATCCTCGAAGGGGTTCGTGTTAGTACTGATATGGCAAAGGCACATTATCAGGACAACCGCCAGCAGCGTGTCGTGCCAGGATGTACTGTGACACCGAACCCTGTGAAAGAAGTCTGCTAGCCGCTAGCCTTTCAATGTGACACACGAGGCTACGACGGGTGGTACTGTTGATGATATAAATCCTGCACTACCTTAAGGACCCTAAACTATTATGGGAATTGTGGAATATTCCTTATTATGGGTAATGCAGGATTTATGTCATCAACCGTAGTAGCCGTAGTATGAACCAGCAAAACCAGTCTTAGCGAACTCCGGCATGATGATATATTATGATAATAGCGAATGCTTCGCGACAAGCCAGCCATGGCACTGGTGAAACCAGTCATTCGTTCTTCCACAGTACGGTGGGGGGGTTTGCACTCCGGGGTTTAGAATTTGGGGGGCGCAGTTCTTGAAACTCATCCAAAAGCCCTACTCGAAGAGCTAGACCACCCAAAAGGAAGCCAAAGACTCACCAAAAAACAAGCACTTGAGAGTTTCCGAAAATCGGGGACCCTAGTACAATACCCTAAATAGTAGGATCCTTATTACAAGGACCGCAAAATAAGGTACCCCTGTTTTGAAACGCCCACTTCAAGGCGAGGGCTCCGGGCTTGACAGCTCAAAGTCTGCAATTTGAGGCTGGAGGTTACGATTTGGGTGGTTGTCAAAATTGAGGTCCCTTTTGGGGGGTCCTTAATATAATACGGCACCTATTATTTAGGGTACCCAGAAAGGACCATAATTTTGACAACCACCCATTTAGGGTTTCGGGTTTAGAAGCCGAAAAGTTGGAAACCCAATAGCCTCAAAATCCTTAAGAGACATGCATAGGCAATCCCAGCACTATTTGGCCTTAATCCGGTTTCCAACTTTATGGGATTTGGGTGGTTGTCAAAATTAGGGCCCCTTTTTGGGTACCCTAAATATTAGGTGCCGTATTATAATAATGACTCCAAGAGGGAGGGGACCATAATTTTGACAACCACCCATTTAGGGTTTCGGGTTCCAGGGCTCAAGTCCCTCAAATTACCAGGCCGACCCCGAACCTTTAGCCCTAAACCCTAACTAGACCCAAGAGTAACCTAGGAATAAAAAGGGTGCCCTTTTTGGTTTAAAGGGGCTCATAAGGGAACCTGAACCCTCAAAAAAGGGAATAAGGGCCTACTCTGGGTCCTAGCTAAACCCAGACCCTGAAACCCTAAACCCTCAAAGAAACAGGCATGCATGAAGTACACAAACCCCTGGTCTCAAGCTGAAACAGACCAAGGCCCGCACCCCTACTGAACATCAAAGCCTCAAGCTAGTAAAGGTCACAGACAATGAGACCTAATGTCCTTACCCCTTCTGGATCCCGCATGATTAATACGTAGGACAGGAACCCTTCAAACATCCCTGGAAACCCCAGACTTCTAACACCCTAAAAGACCCTGCACATGATAAACAAAAAACTGTATGAACCCCGTATATGCCCTTCAGAAACCCACAACTATCACACCCTACAAGACCCTTACAAAACACCATGCAGCCTCTGTGAAGTTCGGGGCAAAACCGTGAAAGAACAAACAAAAACTGCATCTCACCCTCAGGGTTCAAAAGTCATCGAACCCTAAACCCTAAACCCTAATCCCAAGGCCCGCACGGAGTCCCTCTGTCGCTTCGGTTGAGGTTTCTTTGAGCTCCTCGAAGGCAGAACCGTGGCAAAACGATTTAGGGTTTTAGGGGTTTAGGGTTTAGGGGTTTAGGGTTTAGGGTGTAGGGATTTAGGCTTTAGGGTTCAGGGGTTTAGGGTTTAGGGGTTTAGTGGTTTGGGGATTTAGGGTTTAGGTGTCTAGGGTTTAGGGCTGAGGGCGTCCGGGGTCTTCGGGCTCAATGCTGTTGCAGGGGGACTAAAGAAATGCCAATACCATCTTGAGGACACCTGATTATAAGTATGCCATGGTGTACCCCAAGACCCCGTTCTACCAATTCAGGCCCCTAAATTGCAACACCCTTAAACAGGGCAGCTAGTAAAGACCTTGCATATGGAGCTACAGTGAGTCAGGACAGCTTGCTTGAGCAAGAGATCCCATGATTTCAGCCTGGCCGAAACCACCAAAGCCCCAGCGAAATATGCAACCTTTTTAAACAGGATTCTCAATCACCGCTGTATGATAGATAACGTGTGAATATACTATGTATGTCTATATATATATATACACATGTGTGTATATATATATATATATATATATAGGTATCTACTCTGACTACAGGATGTATACCATATTCTTTCATCCTCAAGAACCCACACCATGCCAGGACACATAAAATACTGAAACGGGCTTCCGAAACGCTTCCTGTATGGAGAGTCATATGACCCATGTCTGAGCTCTCTAGTTGACATGGAATGTTCTAGATTTCCTTCAAGTCAAGGCCCTAAATCCTAAACCCTAAAGGCACTTAGCTATATGGAGGGGCTTGATGTAGAAGAACCGGACGAGAACACGAAAGCACCTGAAGCAGCTCGTCCAGACGCTGAATCTTGAGCCTTGCCGGTGGGTTCTTAAGACTTTAGGGGGTTTAGGGTATGGGCATACCTAGACCTCTCAACTACCCACTGTTAAACCTTAGATACCCACTCTTAAGGACCATAAGGGCTCTATCAACGGGCACTTGGGGGGTCTTGGTAGAACAGGTTCTTCGTAATGGGTGTTGGAGAGTTCGGGCTTTGGGGTCCCACGGTGCCTCGGGTTGTAGGGCTGGGGGTTTAAACATGCATTTGGAGTTTTAGGGCGCGGGCTTTCAAGGACGAAGATAAGGGCCTTAATGATAAGAATAAGGTTTGGGTGCATATGGCATACTATTTATTGAGGCCCCATATACCCTATATTAGGTTTCGGACCTGGGTCCGCTATAAGCAATCTCGTGCCAGCGCGGTGCTCTTCGGAAGACCACCATTCGAAGATAGGCTTTATATCGATAGCAAGGCAGGGAAAGTAAGTAACGAATTTTAGGGAATCGTAGTTTGCAGTTTGATCATGCTTCCGATTGGGCTCAAGCGTCAAAGATTGTTCAAAAGGATCGGGTGAACTACTGATCCGCTGGTACACTGGACACTCACAGGCAGAGAAAGTCATGAGCCTATAGTCGGATCTGTCATTTTGGGTGATGTTAGAGGTTTTTTTTTTTGTGAGGGCTCTTTTCCGACTGCAGGACAGCTAGAATTCCTTACCAGGATGAGCCAGGTTGTTGGAGGTTTGGGGCTGAGGGGTATTCGGGGTGTCGGTTATTGGGATGGAACAGTCTAGTGATTCTAAAGGGAACTCCAGAAAGTTGGAATATGGCTTCAGGGTAGGATACCCTAGAATTTACCATAAAGGGTTTAGGATAATAATATTCCAACTTCCTGGCTTTTACTTTATTGGGATGGAACATTCTAGTGATTCTAGTGGGGCAAGAACGGAAAACCTTGTTTGCCGAAGCTTCTGTGTTTCTTTTGGAGGTTCTGGGGTAGTTACAAACTCGGGTTGCAAGTGCCCCAAGAAAAGTTCTCATTGAAGAGCTATTACCCTCGCATAGTCGTACAAGTTGAATGTGTGCGTCTTCGATGCAGCTGTGCAGTTGCTTGTAAGCAGCTGAGACGGCGACAACCTCCTTGAACTCTATATCCAGGAGCCCCACTAATTGACCTAGGGTTTGGGGGCTATAACTTTGGGAGCCCCCTAGTATGATTTCGCACGGACTCTTTGATTCAGGGCCCCAAAGGTTTCGCCAGTGCGGGGCTATCTACGCCGCCAGCTGCACCTTGCTGAAAGGCTCAGTGACATGCCACCTCAACCCCTAAACCCTAGATCCTAAAACCCTAAACCCTAAACCCCTGAAACCCTAAACGCTATACCCTTAACCCTAAACCCTGCACCCTAAACCAACCAACGCCCTTCCGAGTTTCAAGCGCTTAAGCGCGTTGACGGCTCTTAGATTTTATCCAAGGGCAAAAGGAGGGACCCTTAATAAGGACCCCTAGGTATATACCCTTAATTTTGCTATTATAAACCCATTATATAGCCCCCATTGTAGGGTAGGGGTCCCCATTAAGGGTCCCTCCTTTTCCCCTTTGATTTTAGTCTCGGATCTTTGGCTCTAGGTTTGAGGGCTTAGAGTGTAGAGTCGCAAGGTTTAGGGGTACTACAGGGGCCTAGATAATTACCTATACTGTTTGTTTTGGGGGGGGTCCTTATTAAAACTACGGCATAATATACCCCAAAACCCTATTCTAACTATTAAGGCCCCTATATTACTGGAAACTATTAAGGCCCCTATATTACTGGAAACCAAAAGCATGGCAGTCCCGCCAGATCTCACTTTCGGAGCGATTCGTCCGTTCATCACGGTCCTGGCTTGGAGTGGGTGGAGTTGCTTTGCTCCCCTTGTTGCGTTCCAGAAAATGACAGCAACCAAGCATGCAATACAAGGCACTTAATTCGACATACGCGCACACATACAGCATGCGGGCAGGTCAAACGTACATAATGATTATACCTGTCGGTCCGTCCGTCCATCCGCCCGTCGGTGTGTCTATGTCGGTCTGCATGCATGCATTTGTAAGTATGTACAAACAAATCGACCAACAACTACATGAATCTATATGGGACCTTCCGAAAATGGGGGACCCTCATACAGTATTTTTAATAGTAGGATCCTCATTACAAGGGCTCCAAAATAATGTACCCCTGATTTTCGGGAAATGCCCATAGTAGGGTCCTAAGTCTTCAAGTCTTCTGCATCTCAACCCTAAACCCTAGACCCTGAATCCTAAACCCTAAACCCTAAATCCTAAACCCTGAACCCCTAAATCCCCAAGTTTTCAATATCCACGGCTAGTCGGTCCTTCTGGTCCCGCTGCTTGGCATCATTGTCGTCCTTTGAGCAGAGGCTCTGTTGGGGGTCTAGGGTTTAGTGGTTTAGGGTGTAGGCGTTTAGGGTTTAGGGTCCAGAGGGTTTAGGGTTTAAGGGGGGTTAGGGTTTAGGGTTTATGGTCACGCGTTTGGGCGTTTAGGGCATAGGGTCCAGAGGGTTTAAGGTTTAGGGGGGTTAAGGGTTTAGGGTCACGGGATTAGGAGTCAAGGGAGTTGGGGCTTCACTTAGAGGGTCGGGGGACTTAGTAACTGGTTGTTTCAGGGACTTATAAGTACCATAACCCCAATGAAGGTCTTTTTTAGGGTACTTATAAGTCTACTTACTACCTACTTACTAAGTCACCCGACCCTCCAAGCACGGTTGGTGGATCAGCTGAGGATCTTAGGTCAAAAGAAACCAGCAAGGTTCCGCAAGGAGCAACTCCTGGGAAACCCTAAACTTGAAAACCTTAAACCCATAATTCCAGAACCTCAAGCCATAGACCCACAAGGGGAGTTCTCTAAATCAGGGTCCCCTTGTTGAATTCTTAGACCACCAAAATCGCACGGCACCATGGAATTTGAAGGGTCTTAGAGGGAGAGTAATTCAGAGAACTGCCCACAAGCACCTGGACAATGGAACCAAAGTGTGCTTTAATATGGGGTCTCGGGATCATGAGCTGTCCAAGTTTGAGGATTCAATCATTCGGATCAAGCATCTAGACCTAAGAGTAACCTAGGAAGAAAAAGGGTGCCCTTTTTGGTTTAAACGGGGTTTATAAGGGAACCTCAACCCTAAAAAAAGGGAACAAGGGCCTACTCTGGGTCCTAGGCATGTCTTCTCGCCCAGAGAAGCCCCCCCCCCCCTCGCGAACATCGACATGTCGGCAGGTCCTGCAAAGTCTTGTCGACTAAGGCCTTCATGTCACCAAGCTTTTTGTCAACCTGGTTCAGGGTTTAGGGTTTAGGGTTTTGGGTTTAGGGTTCAGGGTTTGGCGTGTGAGGCTTTGGGGTTGAGGGTGCATGTCGGCAAAACAGAAGGTCTTTTCGGTCGGGGCCAAAGAATCCAAGCTGGATGAATTTCTGGGGATTGGGCGACATGAAAGGCTGCTTTGCAGGGGCTGTTTTTCAGGGTTCAGCTTCCAAAGACGCATCCTGCCGATTAGCCCTAAACCCTAACACTAAGGCTTAGCGGGCATACCCCGAAGGCCATTACTTTCAAAACATACAGCTGGGTTGGCCTTTAAACACCTGAGAAATATTTATATATAGGGTCCCTTATAAACCCAAATAAGGAAAATAAAAAATGTCCCCAAATCCAACCTAGTTACTTTCAAAAAAAACAGTCTTCGCGAGAAAGTCCTGGGCTTGGGGGCTTGAGATGCACCGGTTTTGGGATTATAGGGTTTAGGGTTCAGGGATTATAGGGTTTAGGGATTATAGGGTTTAGGGATTATAGGGTTTAGGGTTTAGGGCTTGGGCACCCAAAGGCTCCGAAAGGGGTCATGGGCCTTCTGGGCGAGGGTTTGGGCTTTGGGGGTTCAGGTTTGGGATCTCACTACGAGGGTCCGGGAGCCTTGGGGCAAAGCCTAAAACTTGCATATGAGCCTGTCCAAACGATCTTCAGTGCAGAGGCCATCAACCTAAGCCCCAAACCAAACAGAAGGACTTCCCTCCTGCAATCCCCCAAAGAGGGTCTTAGCTGTCAATAAGGGTTTAGGGTTTTTTTAATAGGGGCCTTCAGAATTAGAATTGGGTTTTGGGGCCCAGTATGCTATAGTTATAGTCGGTTATGTCGGAAACTAGTATAAAGGCGGCTATATTAGGGTGTAGGGTTCAATCCGGGTCGCCCGCTACTACACAGGTCCTGCCTCTTGCGCTGCTGCGGACATTGCGTCATCGAGGTCCTGTTTTCGTGTGTAATATAGGGTTTAGGGCTCAAAGGGTTTAGGGGTTTAGGGTGTAGGGTTCAAGGGTTCGCTTATAGCTGAAACGGGTTTGGGGTTTTTTTGTGTAGGGTTTTAGGGTTCGTTTACAGCTGAAAGGATGTGAGCATCCAGAGATACAACCCCGACGACCCTCCGACAACAACCCCGAGGATGCTGTGCATAGCCCACAGACTCGCAGAAGCAGACCGACAAATGGGTGGTTGTCAAAATTTGCTCCCTTTTTGGGTCCCCTATTATAGTACGGCACCTATTATTTAGGGTGCCAAAAAGGGACCCTAATTTTGACAACCACCCAAATCTACAACTTCAAGTCCATGAGATACAGCGCCTGAGCCTTCTAACACCTTGATTCCCAAGATATGCTTCCCGCTACAGCTAGGGATTCATAGCTACGGCCTAGGCACTATGACACTAAAACCGACAACCCTTGACACATGTAGTGGAAACAGACTTAACCCGAAATGCTGCGGAAATCGCCGAATCCTACAGTGGTCCGCTTGAGTCCTGTCGTCCCGGAGCCTTATTGATAAACCTCTCCACAAGTCGCGGGCCCTAAGCACAAAAGGATGACAGACCTTAAACCCTAACCCGATCACCGGCGACAGCTTCCAATCCAAATCCGAACACCGAAGCCTAAACCACTGACCAGAAACCCTGAAAAAGGAAGCCTCCACCCAACAACCCTACAACTTTACAGCTCCCCGCCTCAAAATCATGGAAGCTCATAGCTTGACACCCAGAAATTCCCGAAAAAAGAGGAGACACAATAACAAGGAAGCCCCGAACCAACAAAAACCCTAAACCCTAAAACCTTGAACCCTAAAACCCTAAACCCTAAAACAAACCTAAAGATCCCTTAGAGGGGCCCTTAACCCCCAAAGACAGGACCGCCTTGCGCTGGTTGTCGAGGTTCGACTTGCCCTGCGACTCTCCAGTACTAGGATGCCCAGTACCACCATTATTCCCTTTTTGTGGTCCTAGGTTCCTTGTAAAGTTACCCAACACCAAAAAGGGAGCCCTTTTGATTCCTACTTCCAAACCCCGGAGTGAACAAATCGGGGTTTGGCCTTGAGGGTTTAGTTTAGGGTTTAGGGTTTGGGGGTTTGGGGTTTAGGGTTTACTTTAGGGTTTAGGGTTTGGGGTTTGGGGTTTAGGGTTTATTTTGGGGTTTCGGGTTTGGAGGTTTGGGGCGTATTTTAGGGTTTCCGGTTTTGGGGTGTGGGGTTTACGGTTTCTTTTAAGGTTTATATAGGGTCCGGGGGCCTGGGTTTTAGGATTTATTTTAGGGTTTAGGGTTGAGGGTTTAGGGATCCCTGGCAGAAGCCGTCCTGATACAGTATATACTTGGTCCCGCTGTACGGCGTCAGAATAAACGTTAACCTCTGCAAGTCACCTCTTGGTCACGCGGCGCGAATTTCCCAGAGCCGCAATACACGATGCGACCCCGCCGCCGCTCCCAATTGATGGACGTGCGACCATTTTTCTCCTGCTCGAAGTATCTCAGTAAAATATTGTCAAAGCTTAAACGTAGAGGGATACACACGAAGCACATGAGCAAAGAATAGTCGAGATGAACAACTGCATGCGAAGCTTCCCCGTTTCTCATGTTGCTGTCCTTGATGGAAGAGACACCGAAGCATTTCAACAGCTCACGGTTCGCCGCCGCTTCTCGGTGCGTCCGCTGTGCCCCATTGTTACCGTGGCCACCTGGACCGTAGTGACCAGCAGCTACAGCGATGTATTGGCACCTAAGACAAAACATGCTCAGCCGTTCGTGCTAGATTGTGCACCGCAATTCATCGCCGGCGCACTCCGCCGTACACAACGGTTGCATGCAATACTACAGCGGCCAGGATGCCGGATGTTAAAGCCAGCCCCGGCGAACCCCAAGCTAGTGAGGATCCAATCCTTCGGGCAGGACGCAGTCATTTACAAGTCGAGAAACTGCATCCATACGAACACAGTGCCGACGAAGTTCGGACTTGCAAGCGAGGACCTCAGGATACACCAGTTCCTGCGTCCGACGGCGTACCTGCGCACAATGTATAAATGCCTGCCGGTTCTGTAATGAATGCGTATAGACTCCTAGACAGGTCTCTCGCGGTCCGGTGCACCTGGAGAGAGTCCATGATAGTCACCAGGTTCGTTGTGAATGCCTGAGTGCGGGAGAGCTTCGATAAGATTGCAGTTCCAAGTCCACCTGATCTCATGCACACGGAATGTCGTAGCAAGCTTGGAACCCACTACAGGCAAAGCCAACCCAATGCAGCCACACACAAGCATGATTGAACCCTCACCCCGAAGCTTCCTTCGGTAAAGCTGCGTCCGACGGACGACAGTGAAGCGGGTTGCTGCTGACGAAACCAGCAACCAGACCCCCGTAGGTGAACAGACCCTCGACCATAACCTCAGCGCAAAAGCAGACGCACACTTGCCTGTAAGTGCGGCAAATCATTCCCCTCTGCAACTCACGAAAGTCTACAAATGCCGAGACCTCAATGGCACGGCGGAGGTCGAGTCGAGCGCATTTCGTGATGCGCTTCTCGTTGGGGTTTTCACCTCGTGTAATGGAAACCGACCAACAGGGACTACCAAGCCGTAGAAGACAATCGCCCGCCTACGAAGGCTCGCTTCACAGCAACGATGTCGTCGACTGCTTTGATAATGACCGGGCAGCAGATCTTGTCGCCCAAGTCCGGAAAGTCCTCATGCCATCTATTTGCCAGCCAACAACAATTTGCCTCACACTGGTACCTCCGATCCTGACCGCTCGCCCAAGCTAGCTAACCTCCCATAGCAAGATATCGGCGATGGCAGCTACTCATGTTCATTGTGTATGTACGCTCGAACGCTATGCAATCCTGGGAGCCGAGGTAAGCATCGGCAGCGGCCAGGCCGCGCGTCGGCTCGGCAACAACTCTGAAGTTAAGTACCTCCTTCTTCAGGAAGCTTTTGTATTGCTGGACCTTACCGCAGAAAACAGCGCCCCAACGAAACACATCCGGGAGTGCCCTTTCGCAACTACTGCTAGGATTGTCTCGGTCATGGTTCGAAGGTGTGCTGCAGCAGTATCTCATGCACGACCCTCATGCTAAGAGGATACCTGACTCATAAGGTCGTACATGCAAGTGCTCTCAACATGAGCCTCGGCTTTCGGAACCACCACGTACTTTTCGTTGTCAGGAACCATGTCCTGCAGACAAACCTTCAGGTGTGACTGCACAACCGCGTCACAAGGCAATAAAGACTGTACGAGCACGGGTGCTTCCAACACCGCTTGCAGACACGCTGATGCCAAATAACCCCAAGTCCTGCAACACCGACCCTGAGGTGAACTCACTGGCGGTGAAGCGGCCCTGCGAAGCTCAGCGACTGAATCGTTGGCACCACATGTCCTCTCAGACACTATCCTAATGAGGCCTTGGACACCACGATCACCGGCAGCGACACCAACTCCGGTACGACAGCCATGCCGACGGAGGCTACAGAAGCGAACTGAATCAGGCTGGTTCGAGCAATACAGCTCGACGGAAGGGTGCATGTGCCGCAATGTTACTCGACTTCGAGAAAGCCAGGAGACTAAAACTTCTGAAACACACTTACAAGATCGAAGCATGGTGCACGTATATGTGCGGGTGCTGAGAATGAACATGCCTGGACAGATATGCTGGGTGCGCGAGCCATTGATTACAACCCAGACAGTGCCGCAAGTCAATACGCCCCATGTGCATTGCCACGGCTTTCCAGTCCTGTGCAAGAGCATGCCATAACACAGGTATCTTTGCCAACTGTAGGATTTGCAACAGACGCTCAACAGGAGAGGCCATGATCAGCGGCAGGGCTGTCCGTGATAAGCCCTAGCTCCGGCCTCAGATGAACCTTTACTCAGGCTAGTAGGGGCTACAGCAGTGGTGACCGAAGCAGAAGTTGAGCGGGTTCAGTATTATCCGGGGAAGGTATCTGAGGACTCATTTGTGAGGTTCGCGGCAAGGAAACATGCTGGGCAACGCCAATGTCCATGCTGCTTTTCTTTGGCATCTTCGTACTGTAAACTTTGCATATTAGTAGACATATGTAAAACATGATGCGAACGCTCAGGCAGAGAAGAATGCAGCTTCTTTTGCCCGGCCGTGCTCACGACTCACGACAGCGGCGAGTCCAGGAGCGCGGGAAGGCTCCTGCAGAATGCGAGCGGCACCCTACACCGCACCGGCAGCACGACAAAGATTGTCTCCTCAGGGACGTTCGCCTGGACCTCGTGAGGGCTCTCTCCAGGTCCGGGCGGGCGAGACGACGCCACGAGGAAGGGCGATTCCTCTTGAGGTGCGACTTCACCACATGCTTGATGAAGCTCGCAACCTCGAACGCCACAGAGCACGGCCGGCGCCTGCAGAATCCAACAGGCGCACTGGCAAAACCGCAACGTGGGCCCACTTTCACAACACGCAAACATCCGACCTCCGATCGTGTGGGCGCACCAAAGTACCGGTGCGGGAACCCCTGTCAAGCCGAAGTAGATACTGTACAGGCACATGGACGCTGAGGGTGGCCGAAGATGTTGAAAACCTATTTTTCCGGCATCCGAAGCCTAGACCTAAGAGTAACCTAGGAATAAAAAGGGTGCCCTTTTTGGTTTAAAGGGGCTTATAAGGGAACCTGAACCCCCCAAAAAGGGAATAAGGGCCTACTCTGGGTCCTAGTTGATTAGTGCTTGGGATCTGAAGCTGGGCGCGTTTCTGCCCGGCGAGGCCAGGGTTGGGGGCTTCGGCGGGCCTGAAGTTCTAAGCTTGAGCTTTCAGATCTGCCTTTTGGATTCCATAGAAACTCTTAAAAAGGTATCAACTGGAGCTCCAGCAGCCCTAAACCCTAAATCCGTAAACCCTAAACCCCTAAACCCTAAACCCATCCTACACCCTAAGCCTATCAGCATGGGCTTCGAGCTCAGCCTGAAGCTTAGGTTTCGGCTCGTGGGTCGAACCGGAAACCTGCTCATAGCAACCCTGTAAGTACGTCTTATCCTAGGATACCCAGTAACCTAAGATTAAAAAGGCCTCTCTTTTTGGTATTGGGTATCTTTATAAGGAACCTAGGACTACAAAAAGGGAATAAGGGTACTACTGGGCATCCTAGAAGTACGTCTTATCGTGCCCCGGACCCCTCAACACAAACCCAACAGTAACATGAACTGAACCAACAAGTGTACAAACATGAACGAACCCCAGGAGGTTTTGAAGTGCAGACACCCCAGCGTCGTTGGATTCGGGAGATTGAGGATGGAACACATGGATTCACGAGGCATGGCTTCAGGGTTCAGGGCAAGCAAGTATTGGATAAACCCTGAACCCTAGAAGTTGGAACGTCATCCTTTGCGTATGGATTCTGGGCTTCCACCGGTCTGATACACCGATTATCCATGTGGGTGGTTCTCCAAATTAGGGTCCCTTTTTTATGAGTCTTGGGTCTTGGGGACCATGAAAAGGGACCCTAATTGAGAGAACCACCCATGTCGCAGCATATCGTGGGTTTAGAGTTGCAGGGCCTGGAGTTCAGGCTTCAAATCAAGACTCTAAACCCAAAACTTCATGAACCGCAAACTCAAGACTCTAGACCTTGAGCAGAAAATTCGAGGGCTCTTCTTTCCTGTAGAGCCCAACACTGTCATAAACCCGAACCCTAGCCTTGAAAAGAAACTTCGAATGTTCCCTCTTGTGTAAAGCCCAACAAATGCTCGCCCGGGCTCCTCCTGCGACTTCGCCTCCGTGAAATTCGTCATGTCCTCCGCAGAGGGAGCTTGTAAGATTCGGGGCAACCTTGTGTAAGGGATCCTTGTTGCCAGGTTCCTCATTATTGTGTTACAGTCTAACTTGAAGACGATACTCAACGCCCCAAGCCCAAATCATGACTTCAAAACGCAAACCCTGAACTCGCAACCTCTTTCACTTTTCGATCCCAGCTACGCATGCCAAGTCAGCTTCACATCTCGGCTTATAGGGCTTGGTGTTCTACTCTGAAAATGAAGGACCGATCCTCCATTGAGAGCACACGCAGGCAGTTTCTGACTTTTCGGCTCTGCTTTTACAGTATCTCTTTAGGGGCTTTGGGTGTAGGAGGGCATAACGAAGAAGCCCCTGCATGGAACGGAGCTCAGCCTAAGGTACTACATTAGCTTCATTAGCTGTAAATACCTAAGCAAGCAGCTTGCTTTCCCTTACTCTGTAAAGATACATTCAGGTCTGCACATCCCTGTGAAGCCTTACAATACCTCATGAAACACCCTCGTCTGTGCAAGTTCCGTAAACAAGAAAAGGCAGCAGTGTCCGTGCGGGCGGCAGTGAACTCTTTGTCGATGCGCTCGCAGAGTGCGGCCAACTCGTCTGCCAAGGCCTGCCTGAGTTGTTCATGCACACACTCACATGTGTATATATATATATATATATATACATATGTATATACACACACATACATACATACATACATACATACATACAAACATACATACGTACACACATGCACATACACAAACACATACACACGTACATACAACATACACCCACAAGCACACATAGACATACACATGCACATGAAAATTCACATACTTTTCCACATACGACATACGTAAACATACACACATACACACATGCGCATGAACATACACATACGCACACACAAACAAATCCACAGGTATACTTACATATATGCATACATACATACACACATACATACATGCACATAAACATACACACATACGCACAGACACATACACATGAAAACACACCCGCACACATACATACATACGTACACATGTACGTACGTACATGTATGTATGTATATCTGTCTGCAGTGTTGAGAGGCTGTGTGCTTTTTTCCCAAACACGAAATGGACCCCACAGTAGTAACACACAAACCCAAAACCGAAATACCCGGAAAACTCTGTAGAGACCGTTGAAGACGCCAAGTATAAACTGGTAAAACATCTGGTGCTACAATATGGCACAACAAGTTTGAATTAGGGGATGCTGGTACGAATTAACCCTAAACCCTAGACCTTAAACCCTAACTAAACCCATGAACCCCTAAAACCCTAAAACCCTAAGCCGCTATGTACACCCCTAAACCCGGTTAAAGCCCCAACTTGGCCTCACGTCCGTGTCCACTTGGCTCATGCGCTGGCCGAGGCTGCTCTCTGCCTAACACACAGGGATTCCTTACATAAGCTTAGTACTAGCAATATCAATACTAAAACAATTAATAGTATTGTTGTTTTTCTATTATTCATAACATTGATACGAATAATATTATTTATGATTTTGATAAAAAACTAATAAGATTAATTAATAACATTAATTCATAATATCAAGACGATAAACTAATGTTCATAATGACAGTCATGTCAATAATATTCCGAACACAAACCAGACGAACAATATTAACCATACTAAGAATTATCAATAATTTTGACAATACTAATAATGTTAAAAAACTGAAAATACCGAAAACATAAACTTAGTAAAACATGTATATATAAGTTAGGGTTCTGCAACGGGTTACGAAAAAGGTTCTAATCAAGAGGCTTTAAGGGTACCGGCCGTCGTGGAGCTTTACTCGGGCATCATATTGTTGTTTTTCTGCATGTAATGTGTAGACTGTAGGAAGCTGTGATTCGGATTAGGGTTTAGGGGCTGCTGCTGGTTTGCGGGCGTGAGCTGTGGTTCGACTGAAGGTCACATGAAATGGTGCGCAGCAAATGGAACCTCTTAGCTTGTTTAGGTCCTAGACATTCCGCAACTACCAGCATGAGAAATTCCAGCAGCTGCTCCACCCTCAACACAAACAGGCTCCTTCGACAGCTTGTCCTCGGTTCCGTTCAGCAGTCCCATCATGTCGTTCCGGAACTGGTTCATCCTGGAAACATGGATGCATGAAGAATACCTATATACTGTTTTGGGGGGGGGGTTCCTTGCTATAATTATAGTACAGTGGGCACCAGAACCCTATTCTAATTCTTAAGGCTCCTGTGTTAAACCCTCAAACGGGACACACACCTCACACGAAGCACTCAGAGCCTCCTCTTCCTTGGCATCCCGAGCTCACTTTCAAACCTGGAACCCGAAAACCCGGAAACTGCTGAATTCAATGAATTATTGCCCTTCAAAGGTTCTATAAGGCCTACTTGTCAGGTATCATGGGGAACTAAAGGTTAAGCCTTTTAGCTATGTAGGAATTATATAGGGGCTATACTAACCCAAAAAGACTACTTAGGGTATAGAGTTTGGTATCCGGGGCATAGGGCTTAAAACCTAAGCACAAAACCCCCAAAACAGCTAAGTCTCTGAACCCCTAAACCCCAAATCCTCATCTTGAAACCCAGAGAGAGCCTCAAGGCTTTCAGAAGCGGTCCTGTCGTCCGTGTACTTATTCGCATCACCCAAGGTCGTCTGAAAGCCATCCTTGCGGCAGATTGCAGGCTTAAGATAGGGGTCTGATCAGTTTGAATGGGGCTGGCAGGGCATATTATACTTTCTTTGGCTTCAACACTACAAGGGGGCCGATTACTATTTGCTGAGCATTGTCTGAAAACTGTTCAAATAGGCTGTGTAGTCTTAGGATTTGTATTTCCAAGGCTTCAGAGCTACGAAACCCTAAACCCTACGAATGACCATTGCTCTTCCGACTGCGGGTTGCCGGATGTGCGGCATTTGTCATGCCGTTGCTCAGGATCCTTAATGGTTAAGATACTTAACGAACCGTAGTCTACTTCGGGGCACTAGTTAGGGTCTTTGGCCTGTCGAAAAGCAGAGTTCACCATCCTTTGCCATGAAGTCTGCAACTTGCCTTTCATGCTTGAAGCCTAGGGGTTTACGGGTCTCTCTTAGACCAGAAAGAAAGGACCAAGATTATGGAAGGCATTTTACAGTATGAGGAACGTCAAACCAAAACAGGGGAAAAGAGTCGCTAAGATTGAACATGACTGAGGTTCAACATAGTTTAGGGCCTGCGCATTATCGAAAATCCACCTACCGGAAGCATCCCAAAACATCCGCCGAATCGAGTTCAGCTTTCAATCGCTTTCAATCAGAACAGTTGGAAAGTTATCAAAATTATGGCCCCTTTTTGGGCAACCTACACATTAGGTGCCGTACTATGATAAGGACCGAAAAAGGCACCCAGTTGGAAAGAAGCAGCTAGTCAGCCCACTGCGTCCTGCATGGCGCGGGCATTGTTGGCCACAGTGTCCGAGACCTGTGCTGGGGAAGAACGTGAGTATACCGATTAAGCCCTTCCTGAACCCCCCAAAGTGGGTAAAATGATGGCCCAATACCTCTAATTAACAGGCCATTATTCTACATACTTGGGGGGTCCAGGTTAATGTGAACAAAAGTTTCGAGACAAACCTCTGCCCCTGCTGGACCGGGACATGCTGCCTCCTTCTCTTTTTGGAGCATCTCGTAACGAATTGCCAAGCCCAGACACTCCAATATCCCTTAATTGAGGAATCTACCTTAAACTATAGCAGGATCCTTAATATGATTTAAGGTATATTCCTTAATTAAGGGATATTGGAGTCTTAGGATCCTTAATATGATTTAAGGTATATTCCTTAATTACGGGATATTGGAGTCTCTGGGAGAACTCGGGATCAGTGCACCACCGTCCCGCCTTGGTGAGCTCAGTCTTCAGGTTCGTCTCGGACTGCCTGGTGCAAGGCGCCAGGGAGAAGACTCATCTTGATTCAAAGGGGAAAAGGAGGGACCCTTAACAAGGACCCCTAGGTATATACCCTTAATATAGCTATGATATACCCATTGTATAGCTCATTATAGGGTAGGGGTCCCCGTTAAGGGTCCCTCCTTTTCCCCTTTGATTGATAGCTACTTTAGGGCTTAGGGTTTAGGGTTTAGGGCATCCTGAACCCAAAACTCTAAAGGGAACTCCAGAAAGTTGGAATATGGATTAATGGTAGGATCCCCTATAATTTACCCTAAAGGGGTTACGATAATGATATTCCAACTTTCTGGCTTTTACTGTAGCTACTGGTAATACCAGAGAACACATCTAGTTCATGGTTGGGGTAGGATTTAGAATGTACATGTTTATTCCTTATGGGGTTTAAGTACCCCAAAAAATGTAAAATGCTGCCCGACTATGACAAAGACATCATGCATCCGGTGGGTGATGACATGTAAGCCGAAGCCACAAAAGGTAGGCAACGCTAGTCCAAGCAGCTGCGTCAGCAGCAGGAGCAATGCTATCAGCTGTCAGCAATGCACGAGACATGGCAATGGCTTCAAACAAAGCACGCACAAAACTAGTGAGCCCAACCTTTTATCGCGACAACGGCAATAGCAAACCACAGGTTACTAAAACGAATGGTAGCGTAGCTGTAGTCCTGGTTTGCAGTCGTCGTCGCCGTCGCATCTTTCATCATCATCGTCATCATCATCATGAGCAGCAGCAGCAGCAGCAGCAGCAGCAGCTGCAGCTGCGGTCGTGGTGCTTGGGGTGGTAGCAGTAGCAGTAGCAGTAGCAGTAGCAGCAGCAGCAGCAGCAGCAGCAGGAGCAGGAGCAGGAGCAGGAGCAGGAGCAGGAGCAGGAGCAGGAGCAGGAGCAGGAGCAGGAGCAGGAGCAGCAGTAGCAGTAGCAGTAGCAGTAGCAGTAGCAGTAGCAGTAGTAGTAGTAGTAGTAGTAGTAGTAGTAGTAGTAGTAGTAGTAGTAGTAGTAGTAGTAGTAGTAGTAGTAATAGTAGTAGTAGTTGCAGTAAGAGCACTACTACACTTGTGTTCTCACCTGGCCCAAAGCACCCAAAACCCAAGCGCAAGACAAGGTTCCTTTTCATTGAAGAACAATCGAGTCCTAGAGCCCACGCACTTGGCACTCAGCCTAAACCCTAAACATTGGACCCTAAACCCTGAAACCCCAACCCTAAACTCCTAAACCCTAAACCCTGAACCCTACACCCTGAACCCCAAACCCTAAACCCTGAATCCCTAAACTGCCAAGGGTAGCCGAAGAGCTTCAGGGCAGCTCCCAGCTTCTGCTCCGTGGCTTTGACCTTCACTTGGGGCTGCGGGGTGTAGGATTGTGATACGACTGCCACTTGTGTACTGTAGAGGTTGTGGGCACACACATAATGCAGGTTCGATATTCGGTCCTCACGGTGAGGATGGATTTCCATGCAGGTCCATCAGTGTAGACCATGGTAAAACCCGCTTTGTCAAAAAAACAGCAGTTCATCGAAACAGAAACCATCCCGGCCCCAAGCTAGCTGCATACACTGAAAGCAGGCTTGAAGCCTGACGGCGAAACACGCCCAAGGCACGTTGAGAATCCAAAAACGTGACACATCTCAAGCTTAGTTTATCTAGCAATGCTGCATTCCAGCGCAGTGCCTCATGGAAAGATGAGTTGCCTACTTCGTCTGATTTTGAATCCCCAGTCAATCGCAAAAGCTACTTAATCTGCAGCTCAGGCCTGTGCTACACTGCTACACGCGAAGCTAGGCCTAAACCCTAAAACCCTAAATTCCAATACCCCAATACCCTAAACCCTAATAAACGAAACCCTAAATCCCAAAACCCTAAACCTTAATAAAGCATGCAACAAGCAGCTTCACAAAACCTGACGCCCCAAGATCCCAAACCCTTCAGAGGCAAGTCTCGATGAACAAAAGTCTTCACCCCAAATCCTGAAACAAAACCCTACCTCCTGGTCCTGAATCCTATACCATGAGAGTGCCTTCTAAAACCCCTGGTAAAACTCGAAAAAGACATCTTGTAGAGCCCTTAACCAGAGCCTTACAGAAACCCCCAAACCCCAACCCTAAAGCCTAAGCCCTGAACGCAGAAACCCCAAAACGAAATCCTACCGGGCGCCCCAGCTTGACCCTCCAGCTTCTTAACGGCCTGAGCATGAACTCGCAGAGTTTCGGCTTCGAGGGCTTCAGAAGATTGAGTTCTGGGGTTTCGGGTTGCCTGGAGTTGAGGGTTTTGAATTTTCTGGGGTTTAGGGTTGCTTAGAGTTTAGGGTTGGGGTCTGCGGTTTAGGGTTGCTTAGAGTTTAGGGTTAGTTCGGTGACTTTTGAGCGCCCCGTGTCCCACGTCTAAAAAGGCCTGTCGGCTGGCCCCTCGGTCCCGCGGTTGAGGGTTCAGGGCAATGTACGGAACTTAACAATTAGAATAGGGTTTTGAGGTATAGTATACTAAAGCTATAACAAGGACCCCCAAAATGGTACAGGTAATTAGTAAGGTCCCTACAAAGATCCCCTATAGAACCCTTACAGGAACCCCTAAAAACCCTTTAAAAGGAGCCCTGCTCGAATTATTAATGCCTTTATAGTACCTAATCCCTGGACCCTATAGTACCCTTCTTATAGAAACCCGATAGAAGCCCTTATAGATCCCTTTAAAAGAACGCCCAAACTAGTACAGGTAATCCTTAATGCCCCTATCTTAAGACACTTTTTCGGGCCTTTCAGGACCTGGGGCTTCCAGCGCTTCTTGGGCGTCGCTTTTTGGGCTTGGGGTTTAGGTTTAGGGTTTCGGGTTTAGGATTTATAGAGTTCGGGTTTAGGATTTAGAGTTCGGGTTTCGGATTTAGGGTTTATAGGGTCAGGTTTTAGGGTTTAGAGTCAGGATCTAGGCTTTAGGGTTTAGGGGGCTGAGGGCTGTTTGGGGTTAAGGGTAAATTGGGAGGCCCTACAACCAGAAACATTGCAGCAGATGGGTGCCCGCACGTCGGCCAGCTCATCCGCGGTAGCATACACAGGCTTTGGCATGACACCTCGTGGCTTAATGTAGGGGCCTTTATAATTCGGATAGCTTTCTGGGCTCCTTTATATATCATGATTATGATATAAGGACCCCCAAAAAATAATGGCCCTATAATGCCCTATAGTAGACCACGGAATGAAAGATTCCGAATATCTCGCGGAATGCTGTTGGTTTACCCTACACCCTAAACCCATTATCTCCACATTGCGCTTATGTTTAACCCTCAGGATCCACTATCTACGGCAGTGACAAACACCTCAAAAGAGAATTGGGGTCTCGCGCTTAGGTTTGAGAAGTCGCAAATCTAAACCTTTAACCCTAAAACCTAAACCCCTAAACCCCTGAACCACTAAACCCCTCAACCCCTAAACCCTAAATTCCTAAACCCCTAAACCCCTGAACCCCTAAACCCCTAAACCCTAAACTCCTAAACCCCTAAACCCCTGAACCCCTAAAACCTAAACCCTAAACCCCTAAACCCCTGAACCCCCGAAGCCTTCGACACTTCATGGCCCACCCCCGGCCTCCCTGAGCAGAGATGTCGTCTAATGTAGGAACCTGCTTACGAAACCTTCGGCCTTTCTTAGGGCTCTAGATGGGAATTTCCGAAAATTAGGGTACCCTCTTTTGGGCCCCTTATAATAAGGATGCTACTATTTATTAGGGTACTATATTAGGGTCCCCTATTTTCGGAAACTCCCATAAGGGTTCCTTTAAAGGGTACTACAAGGGTACTATAACGGTTTGGGGAGGGGGGGGGTGATGTAGGAACCTGATTGAAAAACCTTGGGTCTTTATTAGGGTTCTTTATATGAGCCCTACTGTTCAGGTTCCTACATTACGAGGCAAAGCTGTTCAAGGGCTTCACAGCTCTCCGTACGAATCAAGTATCCTAGCGCAACTTCGGGTTTAGGGTTTAGGGATTATATACCTTTTGGGAATATATGTAATGGGTTATGATACCCCAAGAAGGTAAAAGATTAGGGACTCTAGTTCGCTAAGGCTCTGTATAGGTTTTGTACCGGGACCTCAACAGCTGCAACAAGTTGCTTGGGGGTGTGCTAGGTTGCTGGCATCTCCAAAACCCTATGCCAAGCCCAAAAACCTGGGCTGCTGACATTTCTCGCTGGTGGGCTACTTGATATTTCACACCCAGTGCTCTTCCGAAGTGTCTCTGGCAGGGCAGGTGTCAACTTAAACAGGTGTTTCACTATTTCTGAAAAAGGGCTGGGGGGTTCCTCAAGAAAGGATCCTTTATCGAAGGATTTTGGAGTCTTTATGGGAATGTCAAGCAAGAAGCTACATTACATAGGGCAGGAAGGCAATCATCTGGTAAAGTAGCTTACTTTAGAAGGAATTCGTACGGGATACTGTTAATAAGATCTGCCAGATCTGCTATGTTCGGCTTAGTAACGAGTCCCTAACCTTTAAAGGAGCAAAATGGTACTATGTGGAGACCTAGATTGGCAAATGTTCATCTTGTACGACTCCAGGGATTCCCACGATTGAGGACGCGGCGCGAAAATGCGGTGCACCCAGCTCGCAAAGGTTCACCAAGTCTTCAAGTACTCACTTTGAGTTTAAAGTTGTGATTCATGCAAAAATACTCGCCAAGGGCCACAAAATCCTTGCTGTAGTTCATGTCCAGGCATTGTTTCTGTTCAATGCGGCTGCTTTGCTTCTGTCGGCTCCTGCCCATTTCGCAAATAAGAGGTTGCGCATGTATCACCACCATGCAAATAGAATATACAAGCCCTAAACCCTAAACAAAGCCTATGCATGCGAAAGCGATGTCACAGCACTGCCCCCTTCGAGGGCGAAGCTGCTGAAACGGCTACGGAGAAACCACGGCCGGCTGGGATGAAAGGACTGAGCTTTAAGGGTTTAGGGTGTTTAGGGTTTAGGTAAAACATGCTATGGCCCGTCTTAGGATTTAGGGTTTAGGGCTTTTAGTGTTTAGGGCTTAGGGTGGCTATACGGGTCTTGGTTTGGGGTTTAGAGTTTCGGAACGTTAATGGTTTCGGGTTTCGGAACTTTAAGAGTTTATGGTTCGGGGTTTTGGCTTGTTCCTACAGTACCATAGCCGGGATTCAGCTCTAAAACCTTCGAACATGCTTCCCTGTTCAGCATCACTCAAAACAGAGCTCGTTAGGAATATGGCCCGGACAGCTGTGAAGCTTCAATGGCCGGAGCCTGTACTTGTACAGATAACAGGGGCGCCAAATACAGCTCAGGCCTTAAACCCTAAACGCCTAAACCTTAAGCCTCACCAGGACCCTTCAAGGACCCTCTAATAGAGCCCTTATGGTCCTGAATAGTGGGTATTTGCGGTATAATAGAAGGTAGTTGGGAGTCTAGGTAAACTCTTAACCTTAAGCCCTAAACCTTAAGCACCAAGTACACTAAACCTTAAAGCCCTAAGCCTTAAACCCGAAGCCCTAAACCCTAAACCTTGAAATGCCCGGTAGGTTGCTTGTGTGTGAGCGCCAACAGGGGCTCTGGAACCATCACGCAAGTCTCAGGAACTGTTAGAACCCTGTTCAGAAACAGCCCCAAACCGTCCGGAACCGTCCCGAAGCGTCGGAACGATAGTAAAGTGCCGATCTGGGCTTCAAAGTTCGAAGGACCGAATAGGTCTCGAGGTTAATGTCACGATTCTTGAGGCCAGAAAACGCAAGGACAAACACCCTCTATTAAACAGACCACCAGCGATTCCAGCCTAAACCTTAAACTCTACGCAAGTTTACGCTTGTGCGAGCCATTTTTGGGCGCGAGGTCTGTATGAAGGATGCGCCGTAACCCAGGAACAAAAAGGGCTCCCTTTTTGGTATTGGGTAACTTTACAAGGAACCTAGGAGGAACCTAGGACTACAGAAAGGGAATACTACTGGGCATCCTAGCTATGAAGGCCGAAGAGAAACAGAACGCATAAGAAATCAAAATCACAGAAGATGACCCTGATAGGAAACCTTCTAGAATGACCGCAAAAAGGACCCTTTCGGAATCCTCAATCCCTACCTGACCTACGTGCCAACCCCGGAATTCTGTTTTCTCGCTCGCCTACCACTCAACTGAGCTGCGACGATTTCGTCAAACAGCGCCAGAGAGGACGGTGGTTCTGAGGCTCGGGGACTGTAGGTAATGTATTTGGGTGGTTGTCAAAATGATGATCCCTTTTTGGGTACCTAAATAAGGGGTGCCGTATGATACTAAGGATCCAAAAAGGGACCCTAATTTTGACAACCACCCGTTTGGGTTTGGGGGTGTGTTATTGTCGTGTAATTATAACGGGGAGCACCAAAATAGGATCAACATTCAATAAGGCCCCTATGGTATACGCGTGTTAAGGCCTTGATAGAGCTTAAGCTTTGGGGTCGGGGTTTTGGCTGGAGGCTCTAGCTGGGAAATCAAAAGTCTGATCGCAAGAACGGGCTTGTGGCTTGGCGCGGACTGCAGGAAAGGCAGGTGCTTTAAGGCTTAGGGCTTTCGGGGTCAGGGGGGTTTGAATACACATCGCCGACCCCTTTGCAGACCGCACTTCGTGGGTCGAAAACAACTTCAGCAGCTGGAAAGCGGCAGAAGCCAGGGGACTGTTGTCTTCGCGGTGGCCATGTGAAAGAGCCCATCCGGCTACTTTTCTTACACCCTTTCCCATTCCCAAACCGGACGTGATAGAACCTCAGCCCAAACCCTACTGACTGATGAGCTGAAGATGATGATGCTGCTGATGGTGATGATGGGTCGGCTCATAGATTGAGCTTATAGTACATGATCGGGTTCATAGACTGGGTTTGCAGTACACGCCATGTTTGAGACACACCCAAACATCGAATGCCACAAACACTAATACTACAACTATGAGCGTATGCTACTTGACATTCTTCAAAACTCTACAAATTGAAATCGTACAGGGGCCTATATAATTGGAATAAGGTGTTGGGGCCCATTGTCCCATAATTATAATCAGGACCCCCCCCCAAAAAAAAAATGCCCCTGTACTACAGCCCTTCATCTATGAAGCTTCTGACTTTGACATGGCCACAGGCTCCGCTGCGACAGATGAGGGGGTTGTGCTCAATTCTGGTTTGCTTCATTGAGGTCGAGGATTTAGGGCTTTTGGGCGGAGGATTTATACCATCGCGAACTACCCTGAAACCCCGAAGAACGATCTGAGAAAGCAACCTGACATACTTCTGAAATCTACCATCCCTAAACGAAACCTTTAGCTGACATTCAGGAAGAAACTGTCTGCAACCCCGCCAAACTCGTGCAAAAACGTGTGTAATCTGTAAGTTCTCAAACCATACCAGACCAAAAAAAAAGCAACGCACTGGTGGTCTCCATGTCGAACCACCCAATAGCAACAATCACAACTGTATAGAGATTACTGTCAGTCGCCCCCGCAAGTCCACGGGGCCAACAACCTACAACCTACAGCATGCTATGAAAGGGCCCCAAGTTTGAGCTCTTTCGTGCTCAGAAAGATGCTATCAAATCCGGTAAGCTACTTCAAAGAGACCTCTAAGTTAGCACAAGCCCACATCTCTCCTTTCAAAGGGCCGAAAAGTCAATGCCCTTCACTGGGAGATTCCGTTACGAAGCCTCGGATCACACGAACGTCTGTTCTTTCTTCTTTTGTATGCTGTTGAGCCCTAAACCCCACATGAAACAGGAAAGAGGGTCTCCACCAAGGGTTAATATAGGGCAGTGATAGTTGGAATAGGGCTTCGGGGCCCATTATACTGTAATTGTAATAAGGAGCCCCCAATATAGTGTAGGCAATTCACAAGGCCCCTATATTATCCTATATTTAAACGGGATTTGAGGCTCTTCGCTCGAGCCTTGACGGATCCGAGCTGCGATCCCCGGAAACCGCGGCAACAGTTTTATGCTAGTTTGGGGGGTGATGTATCTTTGTCTCACGTGTCTGTCTGTCCGTGTCTCTGTATGTGTGCCGGCGCGAATGTCCGTCTGTCTGTCTGCCTCTGTCTCTGGCTCTGTCTGTGTCTCTGTCCCTGTCCGTGTCTGTCTCAGTCTCGGTCTCAAAATGTCTGTCTGTCCGGTCTGTCCTGTCGGTCCGTCTGTGTGTGTGTGTGTGTGCGTGTGTGTGTGTGTATATGTGCGTGTGTGTGTGTGTGTGTGTGTGTGTGGGTGCGCGTGTGTGTTTCATCACTATGCGACTACAGGGAAACGGCTACTACTGCTGCTACCACTCCCACTACTGGGACGGCCGCCGCCGCCGCCGCTGCTGCTGCTAGGACGACGACTACGACCACGGCATCCCCCAACCTACTGGACAACGCTGACGAGGCCGGCGGCTGGGTCACGACTGTGCCTATGCCAACTGTTGCTGCTGTGCATACCTTGGTAGCTTTAATACGACAACTACAGGCAACTGTTGGTATCGTAGCACCGATCATACTATAACCGTCGCCAAATGGAAGGGGGGGGATTGCGCCGCCGCTATCCCCATCGGCAACCAATAAAGGCCTGGCAACACAGCCGAAGCATGTTATTCATAGGTCTGAGGCTCTACGGAGTCTACAGGACTCTCATGGCCATCCTAGTTGGCAATGCCTGCCACCAAGCAACATACATCACATAGCGGTGGGGATTCTGCCGGGAACTTTGCGGCGGCCTGGGATGTCTGGATGCGCATTCAAGGATGCAGGCGTTGGAATATTCCTAGCATCACTATGGTCTTTAATGCTTAAATTAAAGTAAGTTTTCACGGATTGAAGGCGCAGTCTTGGAGTTCCACAGTTGTGGCTGCGGGCTCCACGAAATCCCAGAAACCGTACGAGCATGCTTGTGGTCAGTCATAGCCACAGAAACAGCGGTAGCACGCAAGCGCATTTGGAAAAAGGAATTGTCCTGGTCGCAGTTGTGGCAGCCGTAGCAGCAGTAGCAGTAGCAGTAGCAGTAGCAGTAGCAGTAGCAGTAGCACTAGCACTAGCAGTAGCAGTAGCAGTAGGAGTAGCAGTAGCAGCAGCAGTAGCAGTAGCAGTAGCAGTAGTACTAGTACTAGTAGTAGTAGTAGTAGTAGTAGTAGTAGTAGTAGTAGTAGTAGTAGTAGTAGTAGTAGTAGTTGTAGACAGTAGCAGTAGCAGTAGCAGTAGCAGTAGTAGGAGTAGCGGTAGCGGTAGCGGTAGCAGTAGCAGGAGTAGTCGTAGTTGCAGTGGGGGTTGTGGCCCGTTGTGGCTGTGGTGGTGGTGGTAGCAGCAACCGCAGTACCGCAAATGCAGTTGCAGTAGTAGTGGGGTAGCAATAAGAGAAGTACAGAGGTACTGATTCTCTCTTTCGACCCTCATATTCCCAGAAACTCCAACATCTCTGTTGTGTGGAGTCGGATAGATGTCGCCAAAACATAGTCGAAAGATTACGAAGTCCCAAATCTACTTGCTCTGCGACGACCGCATGTCTGCTGGCATCTCTGACCGTAAACTAAACCCTGAAACAAAGTCCTAAAGCAAGCCCACGCCGTCCAACCTCACACCTGCATATCCTACTACAAGTGCTATCAACAACTCTCAACGAGAAAGAACTCCAAAAAGATTCCTTACCAACCCTAAAACAATGATCGGAGCCACATCCTTTTGCCCAGCAAGACCGAGGTCGGAGCTGGGGATGTGGATCTTTCCATGCCACGCCACCCTTCCTGAAAGATCAGGGTGTGTGTGTGTATATATATATATATATATATATATATGTATGTATACACATATATATATATATATACATGTACATATACATATATATATATATATATATGTACTTATATGGAAGTACATACATACATATAGCATGTATACAAACAAATCAGTGTATATACATATATGTATTACATTAGGCTGTGGGGTTTGTGCTTGAGAGCATTGGGTTTAATTAGAGAGTTTAGCGTCTGAGGTTGACGTTTGGCTCCAGAACTCAGGGTTTAGGCTTACCGTGTGAGCTGAGCGGTTAAGGGCGAGGGTTCGGATTTGAGGCCGTGCCCAAGGTTGTACATCAGGCGCTTCAAACCGCTTGTATAGGGTCGGTCACATTAGCGAAGCCGGCTGCGATGAAAGATTTAGAAGCCATGCTCAGGTGCGAAATCGTTTCTTCAGGGTTCACCAAACTATTGCTATCCAACCCGCCAAGCTACCATGTGGATACAGAATGTTGGCTTGGGGTTGCGGGATGCTGTGTGCCGAAGCCGTCTTGCATTCTGAGGCATGGGCGTATTGCGCGCAGTCGATAAAGGCCTGTCGCACACAAAACAGCTGGCACCGGGCGAACAACCTTTGCAGAAGTAGACCCCAGCAATGCTGAACGTCTTCCTCTGCCTCGACATCCAGGTCCGCCACTCCATCCCGGTCATTTTCTGCCCAATCATGACAGCGTTACCATCCACACACGCAACATCTCCATTACTCGCACCGCCAGTGTCCTTATCAACAGCAGTCACGAATAGTAAAAACACCGTCCATCATCATTGTCATTGTCGTCACCTTCACCAACACCCTCAATCTCAACATTCTCTCCATCAGCAATCATCATATCCCTCGAATGGAGTAGGGTATGCTGTCAACGGTAGAAGCATTATCATCATCATCAGCAGAACTGATGCGGCCTCCACCAGCAACATCAACCATCTATGGACATTTTATTGAATCATGCTTGGAGGCTAGTTTCGAACACACCCTCTGCACCAGGCTCTCTCCCCCCCACCCCTTTAAAGGACCCTTTACAGGGAACCTTATTCTAATGATACAGGCCCTTTTAATACCCCCAACCCCAACCCCTAAACCCGAACCCCCGAAGCAGACCGGCTCAGCCTTCGCGGAGTCTTCAGGTCGTTGAAGGAACGATATCTGGAGTCCGTGCGCACGATTTTGAGGGAGGGATCAGTTGTAAGTATAAGTGTAATCATAAGTACCATACTTTCGTTCTTCCACTATCCCGGAAATTATGGAGATTGAGTTGAGACGCCAAAAGGCTTGTGTAAAGCTTTGCATAAGGGTTTTATCTAGGCTTCGCAAGCTTTGAGGCCACCCTGCGCACTGAACTAGCTTCTCATTTGCTCTCCTACACTCAACGGGTTCAGAATGCTTCAGAGTGAAAGGTAAGCCCTGGACCCGCAAAACCCCAAACAATAAACCCTATAGATCCTTCATTGAAGATCCTTTCAAGAGCCCTAAACCCGAAGCAAGCAGAAGCTAAGGCAAGCCTTAAATACAAAACTTGAACCCCAAACATCCCCAAACCCTAAACCCTAAACCCCTAAACCCTAAACCCCTAAACCCCCAAGCCCTAAACCTTCGTGTATAGACCCTTGAAAGCATTGTGCTAGCCGAGGCACCCTTCCAGCGCCTCAAAGACATCGGCCTGCTCAGCTCGCTCGGACTCAAGGTTTTGGGGTTTTGGGTTTAGGGGTTTGGGGTTTAGGGTTTGGGAGTTGAGGGTTTAGTTTAGGGTTTAGGGGTTTAGGGGTTTAGGGCTTTGGGGTTTGAGGTTTACCTATAGGCCCAGGGGGCTTAGTAAGTAGGAAGGTTCCTTAAAGGGTTCCTTAAAAAGGGATCTATGAGGGTTCTTAAAAAGGGGGGATTATGGTTACTTAGAGGCCCTGGGGGACTTAGTAAGTGGGTTATAAGTAGAGTTATGAGTACCCTAAATGGAGAAACCCGACTTACCAAGTCGGAAAACGCCCAAAAAGTAGGTAAAACAATGACCCAGTACATTTAAGAGGCCATTATTCTACATACTTTTGGGGTCCAGGTAGGGGATCTTCGGCCATTATCTGAGGCCTTGCGAAGGGCCATTATATTGGGTATAGGGAATACGGTGAATATGTGCGAGTTTCCGGAAGTTAGGGGTGCCTCATTTTGGGGTCCTTATAATGTTCGGAAACTCACATGTAAGGTTTTGTGGGGTTTTGACAAATTCTCCAAGGGTTTGGGGTCTCAGGCCTTTCCAGGTCAAGGCATTCAGGGCCGTTTATGCTTTGGGACTGGGGTTTAGGGTTTGGGGTTTAGCGCTTAGGGTTTAAGGTTTCTGGGGATATAGGGATTAAATAGGGACTATGCTGCCCAAAAAAGGCTGGAGGGTGCTTACTCTACTACTGGGTGAGGGATTGTAACATTCCAGGTTTAGGGGCTTCGGCTGCTGGTACTGTGCTTTCTGTTGCGGAGGTCTCGGTATCACGTGTTCACGGCAACTGTGGCTGCTAAGCTGGTTGTAGGATCATGCCTAACTGAAGCACTCCAACTTTGCAACTGGGTTGCCATCCTGTGGCAAAACCAGGTCGATGTCGCAAGTCGCTGTAGAACTAAGTGACCTGAAATTATAGCCTATAGCCCCCTTTAGAACCATGATATTAACAATATGTCTGATATTTTCTTGGGTTTTATGGACGAAAAACAAAAGACTCCAAAGGATGCTACAGGAAAGCAGGCCTTGGGCACCGATGTCCAAATGGACGGCAGCTGCCTTGTTTCCTGATGCAAGGGACGGCGGGATGCACAAGCTTACAGGGGAGATAAGGGCTCACCGTTGCTTAATGCTCCTACAAGGGTGACATGAAAAATTGTATTTTATGCGCTCTCAAAAACGAGTTGAAGGCTTAGTGTTTTAATCATCTACCAAGCTCTTAACGAAACCTAATCCCGTACTGCTCGATGTTAAAATGTTTCAGGATAAAACATCGCCGTGCTCTTGCGCCAGCGACGTCGCGACATAATCTTCCAATGCACCGCAAATGTTCCTGCCGATGCCAAAAAGCGACCATCACGAAGCTAACTGCAAACCAGAAGCCTGCCAAATAGGAATATGTGGGTTCCTTTTAGGTCTAAGTCTTGGCCTTCTCACTTACTCCAAGACTTACAAAAACCTAAGGCCTCACGAAACAACTACACCTTGAAACCTAAAAAATCAAATTTTTCAGGTTTATTTTTAATAACCTTTGATTAAACCCCACTCGTAGCTGACTGTAGCTGAAGCCCCGCCTATAAATCCAAGGCCAACAAAAGATCCCGCAAGGGAAGGCCGCATGGTTCAGGGCTTAACCGACAAGGAAAGGTATCCACAATGCTTGCCGAGATATACACTCACTCCTCCTCCCAGAGTCCTGAACAGCCCTAAATACGCTCACCAGAACCCTAAACCCACAAGCCCTGACATAAACTGCCCAAGCCCTGTAGACCCAAGGGAAAAATCCGCTGGAAACGCACTATAATATAAGCCCTTCTAAACCCTTCACATCCCTAAACCCCAAACCCCACATATGAGCCCTAAACATCCCTAGGCCCTAAACTCTAAACTCCACAAATAAGTCTCCGAAAATTAGGGATACCTTATTTTGTGGTCCTTATAATAAGGATCCTACTAGTTAGGGTGCTATATTAGGGTCCCCTATTTTCGGAAACTCCCAAATAAGAGCCCTACCTCACATGGGTGGTTGTCAAAATTATGGTCCCTTTTTGGGTCCCTATTATAATACGGCACCTATTATTGAAGGTGCCCCAAAAGGGATCCTGGGTTGGCCTTTAAACACCCTGAAAAATATTTATTATATAAAAAATGTCCCAAAATCCAACCTAGGATCCTAATTATCTAGTGTGCCCCTTTTTGAGTCCCTATTATGATACGGCACCTATTGTTTAGGGTACACAAAAAGGGATCCGAATTTTGAGAACTACTGTTGATGATATAAATCCTGCATTACATTAAGAGCCCTAAACTACGGGAATTATGGTATATTCCTTATTATGGGTCATGCAGGATTTATATCATCCACCGTACCCCACATGTGAGCTGCGCCCGCCTGCAAAGTTCGTGACCCGGGCCTCAGGTCTCCATCAAGGCTCTTTTAAGGGGATCTGTAAAAGGGGGTTCCTTTAAAGGGATCTATAAGGGGTTCCTTTAAAGGGATCTATAAGGGGCTCCTTTAAAAGGGATCTATAAGGGTTCCTTTAAAGGGGTCTATAATATGGGCTTAGGGTTTAGGGTTTTCGTTTAAGGGGATCTGTAAAGGGGTTCCCTTAAAGGGATCTGCAAGGGGTGCCTTTAAAGGGATCTATAAGGGTTCCTCTAAAAGGGATCTATATGGGATTAGGGTTGAGGGGTTGTTGGGTTTAGGGGTTAGGGGTTTAGGGGTTTGGGGTTTAGGGCTTGAGGGTGTCGAGGTTTTGGGGATTAATTATGTTTTAGGGTTTTGGCTTTTTAAGGATTAGGATCCTAATTAGGGCTTTAGACTTTTATGGTTTAGTAAGCATTCCAAATGGGGTTGACGGATGTGGTTTCGTTCGAGAACCGAGGAATTGGCTTTTTAGGCCTCTCTTGGGAGTTGTTCTGGGGGTGCTAGGTAAAACAAACCCTGCTTGATACAGCTGTTTGCTGCAAGCGCGAGAACTCACCCTAAACCCTAAGCCCCAAAGCAACAGCACCAAGCCTTGAACCCTGAAGCCTACAACCCGAAAGCCGCTAAACCCAGAACTCCAGAGTTCCGGAAGCCCTCAGCTCCGGCTTGGGTTTAAGCGGTCTGGGTTGTTAGTACGCATTGTCCCTGCTAGGACCTTGGGATAGGAAGGTTTAGGTACGCCGGAGCAGAAACTCTGGTATCAACTCGTCTGTAGCACGCAAGAGGAATTATTGAGGAGGTATGGCTACATTCAACAACGCTCCGGTTCAAACCTTGAGTTTCAGTGGGGTTGAGGGCGGCAGGCTATGGGGTCTACAGTACGGGGCAGGGTATAGGGATTCAAGGTTTGGGGTTAACGGGTCGACAACTCGGGCGACAGGTGTTTGGCGTGCAGCAGAAGGAGAGCTCTTGCATCCCAGCAGCATCCTCTGCCGGCTGAGCTTGCTGTCCACCTTGTCCAACATAGGAGAGGCTCCTTCCTGGCATCGCGAAGATCATGAGACGAGTTTAAGCTTTCGGAGGTAGGGTGGACGTCTAAGCAGCAGGCTCTGTCGATATATCCCCCTCTCCCATTCCCTGCCCCTCCACCCACCCCAACCCATGACCCCACAAACCCTATAAGTGAATGCCGAAACCTCAATCCTAGAAGCCATCGTGAGCCCGAACACATCTAAAGCCATGCCTCTAGGAGTTTGCCTCGTGGTGGTGACATTCAGCTCCATACTACAGGTGCCTTGATAATCAGAAAAGGGTTTTGGGGCCCATGGTGCTATTTCTAGAATAAGGAACACGCCAAGTAGTGTAGGTAATTCTTACCTAACCCCCCAAAAGTAGGTAAAATAATGGCCCAATGCCTCTAAAAGGCTATTATTCTACATACTTTTGGTGTCCAGGTTTGGCCCCTGTGGTAAACCCTTCTCATAACCCTTTGAAGGAACCCTTATCGAACCCTTTTAAGGATCCCTTTAAAGGCCCCCCTTTAGTAGTAGTAGTAGTAGTCGTAGTAGTAGTAGTAGTAGTAGTAGTAGTAGTAGTAGTAAACCCTTAATGCGCCAGGGCTGGCCGGGCTCAGTGGCAGGCCAATGCTCTTCGACTCGTCGTCGCTGAAGGTATTCTGCACGGGTCTAGGGCTTTTTTTGAGCTCCGTTTTAATGTCTGCCATCCCCAGTGTTTAGGGTTTAGGGTTTAGGGGCAAGCAATCAGGCATTTTACCGACTAGCCTATAGGGTTTAGGGGTTTGGGAGTTTAGGGCTCAGGGGCAATCAGGCATTTTACCGACTATCTGTACTACTATTATGGAATTGTTGGCCCCCCAAAACCACAATAAGGATGGTCTTTTGGGACCCAATTCCAGAATGGCAGTATATATGGAGCTTCTGGGTAGGGTTTCGGGCCTAGGGTTAAGTCCAAGCAACCCTACAAAACAATCCAGGTGTCTTCTGGCTGCGCGATCGGAGGCCCGAAGGCAAGGCGCTGGCTCTTGATAAAGCCACGGTTTAGGGTCTAATTTAGGGTTTAGGGTGTAATTTAGGGTTTAGGGTTTAGGGTGTTAATAATTATACTTAGAGTGGGGTTGGGGCGTACATTATACTCTAGGAACCTGCTGTCATATGCGATGGCGCCAGAAAGAACCATCGGGAGTCTCCGGACTAGAAAGAACCAGAACAGCTGAGGAGCCATCCAGGAACAGCCGAGCAACGCACGACCAAGGTCCAAACCGTCCCACGCCCTGAATTCGCAACGCCTGAACGCTGAAAGCCAAGCCATCAAACCCTAAACCCGAATACCACAAAACCCTGAAGATCTAAGATCCGAAACCCTGTAGATCTGAACCGCAGACTCTGCCTGCTTGGTAGAGACAGTAGAAACCTTCCGTCAGAAAGGTTGTTTCAGGGCTAGCGGCTAGCTGTTTGCAGAGTTCAGCTATCTCCAGCTTTACGGTCTAAGTCTAGGAGCCTCGGCGAGATCATGGGTTTTCCGGACTCAGGGGGCAAGTAGTTGTCGCGACTGCCGGCATAGGTGTCTCTAGAGCTGGGTCTGCTTTTTCTAAGTCGCTATTAGATGCACAACATGGCTCTCCTAAATGTGTCCATGGCAGTTGGAGGATATCGCGGGATGGCATCTTGCATCGAAACACTTACTTGCGTTGATCTCTCCGGCTTACTGTAGGCTGAAACAAGCTTGTCTCTGCACATTGAGATGACAGCTCCTACTGTGCAACGCCTCAATGTCTTACGTTTCTACACATGTCACATCTTCTTGTTGTCTATCAACGGGAAAGACTCCAAGACACAAAGAAGTAATATAGGGGCCTAAAGTAATTACCTATACTATTTTGGTGGTTCCCTATTAATTATAACTATAGTATAAAGGGCCCCAGAACCCTAATTATTCTAAATAAGACCCCTATAATATTCGCCGCCCTTTGTGGCCTTACCCATGGGCTGGTGCGAGAGTGGCTCTTCGATGTTCCACTGCGCCTGGCCCGAAGGTGCTGCTTCGGGTTCAGCTTAACTTATGGTTTAGGCTTCAGGGTGCAGTTCTTTCCGTCTAGTGGTTCAGGACTTTAAGACGATCATGACTGAGGATATGTTGTGGCGGGATACAGAGGTCTTAACTTATGCTTACTTGTCGGGTATCATGGGGAACTAAAGGTTAACCTTTTTAGGTCATGTAGGGATTATATAGGGACTCTTCTACACAAAAACGGTAAAAGGTTGCCTACTCTACTACTAGGCTAGGCTTTCGAATTAATGTGTGTGTGTAGTTCTTTCCGTCTAGTTGTTTTGGGCTTTAGTACCACGATGACTCGAAAGGTGCTGTGGCGGGGTACAGGGCTTCTGTCGAATAGTTAACTTGGAGGGTCGGGGGACTTAGTAAGTAGGTAGTAAGTAGACTTGTAAGTACCCTGAAAGGGACCCTAATTGGGGTTATGGTTCTTATAAGTCCCTAAACTAACCAGTTATTAAGACCCCCGACCCTCCAAGAAGGATTCAAGCCTTAGGATCTTCGGGTGCAGTCCAGACCTCAAACTGCAAGGCCCGTTCCCTAAACTCTAAACCCAAAACCCAAAACCCTAAACCCACAAACCCTAAACGCAAAACCCACAAACCCTAAACCCAAAACCCTGAGACCTCAACCAACACCGCTCTGTGTTCAGAAGCGTCGATTCTCCAACACTTCGCGGATTGTTTCTGCGACTGCCTCATGTTCTCTATACTGAAAATAGAACCCTGCCAAAAAATATAATTTTAGCTGTTCTTAGGGATTCTCATAACCAAAAAAATAAAAATATTTCTAAGTAACCCTAAGTTCTTGGGATGGGCAATGCATCGGACTTCGCAATACAAACCCAACTTCAGTGAGGACCTCCGAGGGAGCACAGCTCTACAGTAGAAGCCCAAAAGTTGGAAACCCCATAGCCTCAATCCTTAAGAGCAATATATAGGGAATCCCAGCACTATTTGGCCTTAATCCGGTTTCCAACTTGAAGGGGTTTACTGTAAGCTCTCCCGTTCATACTGTCATTGCATAGCCTCGTCAATTTCGAGCACGAGCATTGTCGTGTCATCTGCTGGGTCGATACCTCGAAGCTCGGAACGGTTTATGGCATCAAGTCACTCGTATTGCCCACTGGAACCAGTACACGCTTCGATGACAAGAGCAGGTGATCAACATGTTGTTTTCGTAATAACAAATCAGGGGACGCGAGTTTCGTGGGTGTTATGAGAAGGAGTCCGATAACTAGGAGAACAAATCCTGGGTCGCGAGTTTCGAGTTTCGTGGGTGTGTTTGAAAAGGCGTCCCTTGCTCCAGAAACTTCCACATCCGCTGGTGGTCAAGAAATTGCGGCATGTCTGCTGCCCTGCGATACTTGACACTAATCTCCACGTACCGGACCTCACTTGACAGACAACGAAAACAAAACCTTGAACCCTAAACCGACGATTGACACCACAAACACATGGAACAAAGAGAAAGCTGCAATTTGGGAGTACAGACGACCCGAGTGACTTCAGCAAAGAGTGCCAACAGATAGTCTAGGTCTGAATAATACCCATAGTTCTCTAAAGTAGGACTCCCTCTAGGGTCCTTGTATAAGGGTGCCGACTTGCCCCAACCTAAATTTAGAGAGCTACCCTCAGGGAACTCCGAAGTTTGAGAGCTGGCTGACGGTTGTTCGGCACCTCTTTGCTGAGTAGGGGGACGGGTTGGGGGGTTGGGGTTGAGGAATTGTTTTAAAGTCCAGTGAGCCCCTTTTCTGCCAAAAGGATTAAGGTTTAGGGTTTAGAGGGTTTGTGGGGTTTAGGGATTCGGAACCTAAACCCTGCCGAGACCCCCGCTGTTGTCGAAGCGGCAGAAGTTGGTGCGACCGAAGTAGCCAGGCTTTTCGAAGGCGCACTTTGCCTGTAGAGCGTTTGTTTTGCACCATGTATTATAGAAGACTTATAGTAAGCCCCAAAAATTGGAAACCGGATTAAGGCCAAATAGCGCTGGGATTACTCTTAAGGATTGAGGCTATTGAGTTTCCAACTTTTTGGCTTCTACTGCAATCGATAAAATAGGGTTTTGGGACCCAGTCTACTAGAGTCATAAAATTTAGCCCCGAAAAAAAAAAGAAATTACTAAGGCCGCTACATTATGGGCCTTCATGTAGCTTCGCCTGAAGCTTCGAGAGGATGCCCGCAAGAACAAAGAGATCTCGAAATGGTCTTGTCTAGGGTTTGGGTTTTGGGATTTAAGGTTACGGGTGTCTCTTGCCTGAATACTGTAGCAGTACGCCTCCATAGACAGGTCCCTTCTAAGGGAGTTCCGAGTGAAAACACCACCATCGCGGAGTTTCAGAAACGGAAAGGCCTCAAAAGGAGCATCGGTTTAGGGTTTAGGGAGGAGCACAATTCAATAAATCGTCCTGATGATGTTCCTGCCAAAAAACATGAGCAACAAAAAACAAGAGCAAACTAGCTTCACAGGGTGTCCGAAATTTTGAACATGGAAGACCGATTCTAAACCTAAACCCGTCACCACCTCCCGCCGGTGCTTGCCCACGGACAGCCAGCATTTGAGCATGCTGCCGGCAGGACCTAGGCTGAGTTAAGGGCAACGTTGAGGGTGTAGAGATTGAAATTTAGGTTTGGGGGATTACACATCATCATTGTTAATATTACTCATCAAGTGAAAACAAGTGTTACTAAGAGTATCCCTCGTAATGCACCTGAAAGCTAAAATCACCAATAGCCAAAGAAGCCCTCAACAAAATCAATAAGTTCCTTAGGCTCGGCGCCCGAACTACGAACCTGTGCCCGCTAGGATCCTTGGATTAGAAACCGAATTGCAGAACTAAGGCTTGGTGCAAAGCTGCGAGTTTGGATGTGCAAGTGGCGGCCATGAAATGCTCAAACATTGAGCCAACACAGAGGTACTACTACTACTACGACTGCTACTACTGCTGCTGCTGCTACTACTACTACTACTACTACTACTACTACTACTCCTGCTGCTACTACTACTGATACTACTGCTACTGCTAAAGGCTCGCACAAAGATGGGATCATCCCCGGCGTTTCACCGAAGATCCCCCCGAAACCTCGAATGTTCAACCCCGTCTCGACAACCCCGAAATATAGAGGCCTGCGCAAATACCAATTCCAAACGGTTCCTTACATTATGACCCTAAACCCTAAACCCTAAACCCTTATACTACAAACAACAAACAATATACCCATATTCTGATCAACAAGGCCCCATCAAACTCTCGCAGGCCCCAAGCCTGAAACCCTCAACCCTTAAAGGCCCCGTAAAGGAAAAGAAAAAGAGGCCTCTAAACTTACCACAATAGCCCTTGTAGTATACAACCCTTATGATAGTACTCAACAACTTAACTCCTTCTAGCAGCCCTTCATAAAAGGAACCCTATGATAGCCTCTACTAGGAGGGTCGGGGGACTTAGTAACAATTAGGGTCCCTTTTAGGGTACTTATAAGTCTATTTACTACCCACTTACTAAGTCCCCTAAAGACCCTCCAAGTACATTACCACCAAATGCCTGCTTCCAGTTTCGTAGGGCTCAGGCAGTGCAAGAAGAAGGAGCAAAAGCCTGCCAACTTAAGGGTTTAAGGTTTAGGGGTTTAGGGTTGAGGGTTTAGGGGTTTAGGGTTGAGGGGTTTAGGGTTTAGGGGTTTAGGGTTTAGGGGTTTTAGGGGTTTTAGGGTTGAGGGTTGAGGGTTTAGGGGTTTAGGGTTGAGGGTTTAGGGTTGAGGATGGACCAGTCTAATTTGTATTCTTTAGTCGGCCCTTTTCTGCTCGGCCAAGGGTTTTTGGGGGTTAGGGTTTAGGCAAGATCACACTCCAAAGCCCATATGGGAGTTTCCGAAAATCTTTTAGGGGTACCTTCTTTTGGGGTCCTGATAATAAGGATCCTACTATTTAGGGCATTATATTAGGGTCCCCTATTTTCGGAAACTCCCATATTGGAATGTTTTGCATGACCTGAGGTTTGTGGCAGAAGGTTTGGCGAAGTGGTGCCTAGCAGGGAAGCGGAGGCTGCATGCTAAGGACTACTAGATTGATTGGGGCAAGCCCTACCGGCCCTAAACACCTACCTTTTTAAGGTTCCCTAGTATGATTTCTTTATGCAAGTCCTTAAAAAGGTAGGTTGTTTGGGTTGGGTACTAAAGGACAATCCAGTCTGATACGCATCACGTAGTTAGTGAAAAACCACGGCAGGTACGAAGCTCAAGGAGTGAAACTACTGGTCTGCAAAGCTTCGGTGTATTCGAACTCAGGGTGGCGATCTGTCATACCTGAAAACCCTATACACCTGGATGTCGGCATATCTGGCGGGACCCTAAACCCTCGACCCTAAATTCCCTAAACCCTAAAGACCCCAAAAGACCCTAAACCCTAAAAACCCTAAACCTGAATGTAACGTGAAGGCGCCCACATTTTAATTCGTGCATATTCACCTACTAACGATCCTGATGCTCCAGGTGTGCAGCAAATCTACAAAAAAACGACAGCTTTCTGTTTATGTGTGTCTTCTTTCGTGTATCCATCTATGTGTGGCTCTATCAGGCTGCCGGCTTTGATTGATGTCAAGCTTGAACCTGCGTTCGTCGAAACCCTTCTTCAAACGACCCACGTCGAGTGCGAGGCTTTATCCGCAATACAACCCCTAATGCCCTGCAAGTCGCACGTTTTTGCAAAGAGATATTCGGCAGAGGACCAATCGAAATCTCCAAATAATGCACCTCAATGGAGGGGCATAAAGATTTCCCAATACTATTCTGGGGCTGTCTTGATATAGTTATAGCCAGTATGCTCCAAAAGCCTAGTCTAATTGTTAAGGCCCCTCTATTATACAACCCTACTATAGATCCTTGATAGACCCCCTTTGAAAGGAACCCAAACCCTAATAGGACCCTTTTTAAGGATCCCCCTAAACCCTTCATAGACTCATGCTTGGGGTTGCACTTGCATGCGAGGCCTTCTCGAGCACCCACATACCCGGACGGGTAGAAAACCTCAATCGACAAGGCGAGGCGCACCCGACAGAACACCAAATTAGGAACTACTTTAGGCATATAGTTTAGGGGTAAAACCCTAAACCCTAAACCGCAGCTCAGGATTAAAAGCCTGTGGGTCTGGGACTCACAGAGTTCGGGTTTAGGGTTTAGTGCTCCTTCCTTCAGCAGGTGCTTGAGGCCCCCAGCAGAAGGATTTGTTCCAATTTCCTACCCCATGTTGAGCTTACGAAGAAGTGAAGGATACTAGAGGTCGTGCTTCAATGCTGGAGTTGCAGAGCTATGTTCCGGAACCACCAGTTGGTTTCAAACGCAAGCCTCTGAATGTCAACTGGCTCGGATCTGCAACCCATCTTCCTTTTAATTTTGGACATGCTGCAGAAGTAGGCCCTGGCTTTACGAAAACCGTCACGCAGTGAAGTCATGACACATGAGCCCACTCAGCCCGGCAGGAAGGATCATTCCTACTTCTGTACAAATACTGTAACTGAGGCTGAAACCAGGACCCCCCCCAAGGCCCTTTAATAGAGCCCTAATGGCCCTTAACAGTGGGTATTTGGGGTATGTTAGGGGGTAGTTGCGGGTCTAGGTAGGTAACTAGGTATAGCTTTTAATCCCAAGTGCCCATAAACCTCAGCAAATGACATTTATTGTAGGTCTTGTGCATACCTGTCAGAGAGCGACCTGGCCACGCCTTTCTATATTAGTCCTGAAACCCACATAAAAAAGCGGCACTCCAAACCTAGAACCCCGAAACTTCCCATCCAAACGCTCCACCCTCCCTGAACCCTAAACCCTGAACCCTAAACCCTGAACCCTGAACCCTGAACCCTAAACCCTGAACCCTAAACCCTGAACCCTGAACCCTAAACCCTAAACCCTGAACCCTAAACCCTGAACCCTAAACCCTGAACCCTGAACCCTGAACCCTTAACCCTAATCCACCCTCGAAGGCTTCCAATAGCGCGATCAAGCTGCGAGCTGCAAATCGTCCACCTGAGGATGCACTTGGTCACGGAATTCCTGTGGGGGCCTTCGTAATTAGAATAGGGTTTTGATGGGTATGTTATACCGTAACTGCAATAAGGAATTTCCCCGAAATGGTACAGGTAATTATTGAGGCCCCTATATTACCATCGGGCTCGCCATAGGGCTTGCCATACATGTCCACCAGGCTTAGCGGGCAAAGGAGGACAGTCTGGTGGGGACGGTTAAGGGTTAAGGGTTTAGGGTTTAAGGGTTTAGGGTTAAAGGGCTTAAGGGTTTAGGGTTTAGGACGCTGAGTGAAGAGGGAAGGAGGGAGGCTCGTTCAGGGAGCGCTTAGCAAAATTGCGGCTGCTACGCTCCAGCAGGAGGATCCCTTTCAGGCTTGGTCCCTCATTTTTCGAGGGTCTTGTAAACTTTACGATACTCAGTGCCAACCAAGGCGGATAAACGCAAACAGCCCCACAACACTCTGCCCAGGCGCTCCCAGCAAATGATCATGTGTTGATAACGGTAGGGATGATGACCTGACCGTCAACGGACAACTACCACGGAACACAGCATGCACCAACAAAGCAACAACAAAACTCCCAAACTCAACCCCCAAAATCCTAAAACCAAATTAAGGCCTCAAGCTGAAATATTCCGAACGACAACAAAAGCACAGCGGAACGCCTGGAAAACCACTCAACATATCAAAACCCCAAAACCCCAAACGCTCGACAAATAAACCCAAAACTCCTAAACCCAAAACCCCTAAACCCCGAAGCCCTATAAACCCGTCTGAGCAACCGGCGCCAGCCGCCTCAAAGGTTGTGCTGCAAAGGCATTCGTTCTCTGGAAAGCACCTGGAAGAGCGTTCTATGAGAAATCTAGAGGTGAGGTTTAGGGTTTGGGGGGTTAGGGTCTTCAAGCGATCTGTAAGGGTACTACAGAACCCCGTAACATGTCTACAAGGGTTCGACAAGGATTTTATGAAATTCCTGCAAGGGTCGGAGCTGTAAAAGTTCCGAGTCAGGCGGCCTTCAGAAAACAGCGCGATGAGTGCTGTTTATGAGGACGTGCAGGGGGGGTTCAAAAGGGTTTTACATGTTCCCTGAGGGTCCATGTAAACAATTTGTTATATACTTTGGCCTTAAAGTAATTCCTATATGGGTACTTCAGAGCTACAGTATATCCTTGGGCAGTAATGTAGGGGCCTTAATGATTAGAATAGGGTTTAGGGGCATAGTATACTAAACCTATAATAAGGAACCCCAAAACCCTATTCGAATTATTAGGCCCCTGCATTTATGGTGTGTTTGTTGCTTTTGAGTTTGTGCTTATGGGTCCTTGTTACTACTAAAGCCGCCAGAGGTTTTATGAGGGTCCTGTGGATTTTCTATACACGGTTCATTGAGTCTGACAAGTCTGCACACGTCTTTGAGGGCTCTGGCTGCCAAGCGATTCCATTTTAGGATGGATTTCGAAGCGTGTGCTATAGGGAACCGGAATTGGGGGTATTATGCATGCATACTTACATGTTTTCATATTATTTATATGTATATACATAAGGCAGCCTAAGGAATAATATTGCTACTGAATCAGGCCCATATATGAGGCTTTTCGGGTTTGAAGGGCTGAAGGGTGTTAGGATAAAGCTTCCGGGGCTCAGCTTCATTTTTCGTTCAGTATTATAGGGGAACACAGGCTAACCTTTGGGATATGAAGGGGTTACTTGTCTCGGAAAGGTTTCAAGAGTTGGGCTTTGAAAGACTGGGAAAGCTGCACCCAAACCCCAAACTAACACCCTCAACTCTGAAGAAGCTTAGACCCTCAATCTTTTCAGGTAGCGTCTTTGAGAAGCTCTGACAGTCTCCCTGGCCTCCGTCCGAAGAACTTAACAACACAAATCCCTACAACAGGGCTTACAGGGTACAGGTTTACAGTAAGCCCCAAAAAGTTGGAAACCGGATTAAGGCCAAAAAGTGCTGGGATTCCCTACACATTACTCTTAAAGATTGAGGCTATGGGGTTTCCAACTTTTGGGTTTCTACTGTATAGGGCACAGGTTTATAATGTCTACAGCCAGGGCTTTCCGGGTTAAGGGTTAATCGCGTTGAGGCTCTGTGTTGCAGGCTTTAAATGTTGAGGGTTAAACCCTACAGCCCTAAACGGCCCTAAACCCTAACCCGCAAACCCTAAACCCCAACCCCCTAAACCCCTACACCCTAAACCCCAACCCCCTAAACCCCAAACCACGAAACCCCAAACCCCGAAACCCCTACACCCTGTTTGGGAGTTCAAGGGCTTCAGGGGAAAGCTTGGGAGCCCGCTTCCGGAGCTGCGATGCTCTCTCCAGCCGCCACTCCTATCAAAGGGGAAAATGGGGGACCCTTAATGGGGACCCCTTCTCTCTTGTGGGCTATATAATGGGCATATAATGGCTATATTAAGGGTATATATCTAGGGGTCCTTATTATATTAAGGGTCCCTCCTTTTACTCGTGGATCCTAGGAACAGCGTGGTTGGAAGGATCTGGGTGGACCCCAAAAGTATGTAGAATAATAGCCTTTTAAAGGGATTGGGCCATTATTTTACCTACTTTGGGGGGTTTAGGTAAGGAGGATGAGCCTTCCGGCCACACGTCATCGCAAAACATATGCTGCGTTTCTCGAGCGATGTTTGATACGATGATTCATCGGTTTAAGTTTTCTGTACGGTTTACCCTCAAGCCCCTTCAGTTCCTCTTCGGGATTCTTTTATAGGATTTTAGATACTGTACGAACCACAAAAAGGAACTACTCCTCAAAAGCCCCGACCCTCGTGGAGCATTGTGAAGCTTGTCAGTGGTTTAGGGTTTCCGTTCAGGGCTTGGGAGTAAAAAGGGCTAGGGTGTGGGTTTTAAGTTTAGATCGTCACTACGATCTCTCGCGCTGTTGAGCGGCGATGCGGCGCACCATGCCAGAACGGATCAAATCCACCTGCCAAGAGTTCTTCGAGGAGCGGGACTATGAGAGGACTATGCTGATTCCCTCTAGCGACAGCCATGAACATAAAACAAGGGTGGTCGGTAGCTGTTTCGCTCCCACTATCTTTACATTACTACTTGACAAAGAGACATAACAGTTGATATGTCTTTTATCAGTCCCGATGTAGCATGACATGAAAGGTCGGATCAGTGCATATTGCCAGGAGGTTGGGGGTTTAGGGTTTACCTTGGCATGAACACATGGGAGTTTCCGAAAATTGGGGGCACCCTTAAAAAGGGGTCCTTACAAGAAGGATCCTCCCTAATTTCGAAACTCCCACATGGAGCAGGGTTCGGGAGTACGGAGTGCGGATCCTCTAGTTACTCCCGGCGTGTCTGAGGGCTGCGGACATCTGGCTCCGGGTCTGGCTGGGAGTTTCCGAAAATAGGGGATCCTAATATAGCACCCTAAATAGTAGGATCCTTATGATAATAAGGACCCCAAAATAAGGTACCCCCTCATGCTCGGAAACTCCCGGTTGAGTCTGGCCATATTCAGACCACGCCCGCATTCCGCGCTCCCTTTCCGGCTTGTTCGTTCTAAGGAAAATAGACATGGGTGGTTGTCAGAATTTCGGTTCCTTTTTGGGTACCCTTAATATACTTAGTAGGTGCCGTATTATAATAGGGACCCAAAAAGGGATCCTAATTTTGACAACCACCCACATGTTAAACTGCTGGCCTTACTCCATGGTCCTTTCGGTAGGAGCCCCGTTGAGCTGGCACCTCAACCGATCTGTCTAACCTTTTATTGGGGAACCTGCGTAGAGCACTATTACCTGGACCCCAAAAGTATGTAGAATAATAGCCTTTTAAAGGTATTGGGCCATTAGTTTACCTACTTTTGCAGGTTTAGGTAATTACAAGTAAGGTTGCACTACTATTCCAGGGAGAAGCTTCACGCAGTATGCTTGTTCAAGACGAGGACTGATGTTTCGCTTGTTCATAAATACCCTGAAACTGCCATGAACTCAATCCACAGCCAACTCTTAAAACTCAAAACGCCTCAACCATCCTAAACCGTCAACGCCTAAAGCCGCATAAATACTATTGGTACTCATATGAATAATTAATCTTATATAACTCTGATTCTTATTATTGTTCCTTGTCTGGGGTAAGTCATGCAAGAACTTCGCCCAGCCGACCTGGTCTTGCACTATGTCGAGCATTCGATGGTTCAAGTACCGATGATACCTGGAGGCTTCGCCCACTTTTCTGGCGGCGTCTTGGGGTGTTGGGCTTCGAAATCTCCGGGTGTGGGGACTTAGCAGACTGCAGAGAATCTTGGCGACGGCGGTACATGTACATGTGAGTACGGTATCTATCGTACTATCTAAGAAACATACACACACAGAGTGAATCACACACATGCAGACAAACGCACACACACACACACGCACACACTCGTGAATGTATATGTTCCAAAGAAACATTTGGCGACTGCGGAGTTCGTAAGTTCTGTGGAAAGGGATCTGGTTACTTCTCCGCCAAGACATGCTACTTAGAGGCCCAGGGGACTTAGTAAGTCGGTTATAAGTAGGGTTATAATTGGGGTAACTCCATTTAGGGTACTTATAACTGTACTTATAACCTACTTACTAAGTCCCCTGGGCCTCTACGTATGTCCTTGTGCTCGGGCACCGCCGCCCGGAAGCCCGATCTCATCATAAAATACAAAACCAGCGCTCATTCTGGCCTTCAAAGCTGTAGGCGTGCACAACAATGCAAGTTGCATTATTACTGCTGTTCCATTCGCAGGCCCTAAATCCTAACACCCTGAAGCCATAAACCCTAAACCTCAAAATTGAAACTCTAAGCAGGCCCTAAATCCTAACACCCTCCCTAAACCCTAAAATCCTGAACCCTAAACCCGAAGCCCTAAAAACCCCTAAAACCCTAATAAACCTAAAACCCTAAAAAACCTAAGCCCTAAAACTTTAATGGTTGACTTTTAACGGCGCAAGAAGAGCTGAGGCCAACACTTGATCTGACCACCGAGGCCCAAAGCTCCGTTTGCCTCCCAGTTTCGACGGTTTAGGGCTTAGGGCTTCAGGGTTTTAGGGTTTTAGGGTTTAGGGGTTTAGGGGTCTAGGGTTTAGGGGGTTTAGGGTTTAGGGTTTATTCGAACCGTAGGACTTCATTCTGTACTTTTGGCAAGGGTTTAGTTGTGTTCTTTTGTTATAGAGCTCTTTTCGAACTGCCTCAAGGTCTCTCAAAGCAGCTCAAAGGGTTTATGTTCAGGGTTTAGGCTTCAGGATTTAAGGGTCGGGGGTTTAGGCATGAGGGGTACATGCCAAACTGCAAAACCAACATCTCGCAGCATGAACGGTTCTGATTCTCTCTGGCCTCCCAACTGGGAGTTCTGGAATCCGAATCATCTGTGATAAGACCAGCTGATGGCACCTATGCCTCTACAACCAGACTTTGATATCATTCAGGCTAGATTGCGGTGTAACCTATGCAGAACCACTATGGAATGCTGATGATAGTAGACTGGTGTTGGACATAACCCTTACTGTAACCCTTGCGGAACCCCTTGATCAGGGAACCTTGAGAGGGGAACCCTTTAAGCCTCGGGAGGCTGCGTACCCCAGCCCAAAAAATGTTAACCTTTGCAATCATGGTAGGATTATATAAGCCCCAACAGGTTAAAGGTTTTCTCCTCAGCTACTAGCCCTAAACCCTTTAAGCCGATAGAGACCCCTAAGGTCAAAGAGCGGGCATCCGCCTCCGCCCTGGCAGGCGCGTATCTGGACACGCTGCGGATGGCCTGCAGGCAGCTAGGGGTTAAGGGTTTGGGTTTTGGGGTTTAGGGCCCAGAGTTTACATTTCCTTTTTGAGGGTTCGCTTTCTCTTCCAGGGTTCTGCAAGGAGTTTAAAGTTCAAGGTAGCCCCATGAACCCCAAACCCCAAAACCCAAAAAATCAAAAAGTTCCAAAAGCGAAAACCCAAAACTCTTCGGCTTTGAGGGGTTGGGGGCGGCTTAGCCTGCTGTAGGGCTTCCGGGTCTAAACACCAGTACCCCCAAGACTTGTTGTTTTAGGGTTTAGGGTTTAGGGCTGCGAGAAAAACCAAGGCCTTTAGAACTGTGGGAGGGGGTTGAAGCCTGCGGCGAGTTTAGCTAAACCCTAAACTTAGTTGCTGAGTTCAGAAGCCCCCAAAGTGTAAACTTTTAGTTTTCTAGTGGGTCATATTATCCCAGAAAGTGTAAAGTGTATCCACTCAGCTACTAAGTAAACCTTTACGGCCTTTCGGGCTGTAGAAATCGAAAGCACTAGAAAGCCAAAGCTTCAGAGGCCTCGAGAACTTCGAAGCTGATCACGAGGGAGCCATCCTTTCCACTAAAGGGGTTTAGGGTTTAGGAGTTTAGGGGTTTAGGGTTTAGGAGTTTAGGGTTTAGGGGTTTAGGGGCTTAGGGTTTGGGTTTAGGATTTAAGGTTGAGGGGTTTTAGGGCTTGGGGCTTTGACGCAAAGGGAGACATGCTATTTAGGGCTTAGGGTTCTATCATTTATGTTATGGGTTCCTGAAAAAGTCCTATAAGGATCGTGAGCAGGTCTCATTATAGGGCTTATTACTATGGGGCATATCGGGTTGGGAGAGGTTGCTTTAAGCTAAGATCTTCTTTTGCACGACCCTTTTCCACCTGCCGGCAGCACCGGGATGGGGTTTGTCTTCTATCGTCACCTCTCCAAAAACTCCCAAAATCCTGAAGCATTGCAAAACTCCCGAACCACTTCCGTTAGATTTCCCGGTCCTTTTCGTTTATCTGGTCGCGAATGAAGCAGATCGGCTTGCTACCTCGCGGCACGAGGGGAACTGGCTTCTTGACATGAAGGAGCCCGTTTTTTTTGGGGGGGGTCTGGTTCAACATCATTCAAGTCTTGGCTGGGATCCCTACCACAGTGTGGCAAGTGCAAGCGCCTTCAAAGCGCAACCTCCAACCGAGTTCAGCCCTACATACTTGTTGTACCCTTCGTCTAGCCCTACACAAACCCAAAGCCCCTCTGAGGACGTGACAAACGGCAGTTGTCTCGTCTTGGAAGGTGTGCTCGATCTGCCCAAATGCAGAGCCTGAGTCTCTCTTTACGGTGTATCAGGAACTGGGGTTTAGGGTTTTAGTTAGCCTCAAGCTTTTATTGGGCTTGAGGGTGTTGCTATATGGGGAGCTACCCAGAGGGCCCAATACCACTGAATTAAGGAATAATTATACCTTAAATTATAAGGGTATATGATTTAAGCTACATTCCCTAATTAAGGGGTATTGGGCTCCCTGGGTAGCAGGGTCTCACTGGCAGAGCTTAGCGCACTGTCATAGTCTACGAGGAGTTCGTCAGGGACTCTCTGGAGTTTCTTTAGAGGTGTGTCAGGCTTCAAAGTGAATGGGGTTTAGGGTTTAGGGTTTAGGGCTTAGGGTTTAGGGTTTAGGGCTTCGAGGGTTTAGGGTTTAGGGTTTAGGGCTTAGGGTCTAGGGTTTAGGGGTTAAGGTTTTGGGAGTTTAGGGTTTAGGGGGGCATCGTGCTGGGCCTGGGCGTTTGGTCTAAACCTTCTACCGAAAGTCTACCACTGTTTGATTAAGCTTCAGGGTGTTTTTATCAAGGACCTGTTCGCGGGTGCTTCTTTTTTAGCAAACTTCAGGGTTTTACTTGGGGCCTGAGGATCGATTAGGATTTACCCCTCTGGTTTCATTGGGCATTGGGGTTTCTATTCAGGACCATATGGGATCTAATCAGGCATTTGGGTCGTTGCGGGCTTAAAGAATAAGCTTCAACCTGACATAGGGCCTTGGGCTAAGGATACCCAGGCTCCATAGTAGCTCCTTTTTGGGATTACCTTATAGGGTTCTAAACATGAACACCAAAAAGGAACTACTATGGCTCTGGGTAAGGTCTCGGGCCTGGGTTTGATCCGTGGTCAACGCGATCCGCCAAACAAGCTCGACATGCCGTTTGTCAAGACCTGAGGTCCCTCCGTTGCTTCAGGGACTTAGTTGCTGAGTTCATAAGCCCCAAAAGGTGTACACTTTTTGTTGTTATAGTGGGTGGATATTATCCCAGAAAGTGTAAAGTGTATCCACTGAGCTACTAAGGGGATCCCGGTGCTTGGGGGTCTCGATTAGGATCCCTGTTGAGGCCAAGGGCATAGCTTTGGGGTTTAGTTTTTTTCTCAGCTCCTGTTTCCCAGAGGCAGCATCCGAAACTTCTAAGAAGGCCATGGGGGCCAGGTTTGTTTTGTTTTGAACGCCTTTTTCCGTCGCACAAGTTGTCCCCAGCTACAGAATCCACCTAGTGGAAGGCCCTGAACCCTTTGACGTGCAGCACTTCCCGAACGGGGGCCAGGGGTTTAGGGTTTAGGGTTCAAGGATCGATCCTTCCTGGTTCGTGTTGAGGCACTTAACTGAATGCCGGTCCAAACAGGTCGTGATGTGCCTTGTGGGTGATGTAGAGGTTTTGTCAGGCTTTAAGCAGCACGAGGCTTAATATAGGGGCCTCTAAGACTAGAATGGTGTTGTGGGGTATCTTCGAGTACAGCTACAGAAAGGAACTCGGAGGAATTTTGTTACTAGCTATTCAAGCCTCTATATTGCTGGCAGGCGCCAGTGGCATTGCTGAAAGGGACTGCAAAGGGACTTTAATCTGCGACAGCCTCGTTTGCCGAAGCAATGTCCCCACTTCTTGAACGCCCCCCCCAACCCTATATGGGAGTTTCCGAAAACAGTGGACTCTAATTATTATAGTACCCTAAATAGTAGCAGCCTTATTATCAGGACCCCAAAATGCCGTACCCCTATAATTTTCGCAAACTCCCATATGCGAGCCCTAGACCCGAAACCCTACCATCGTCTCGGGAGGGTGGGGTGCTGTGCTTGCTCTGGTAAGTTCTCAGTTCTCAATGACAACCTAGAAAACATACCCATAGACCCTGAAGTGAAAACCGACGTGCAGAACGCCACACGCAAAAGAAACGTAAACTTTATGCTGAACCCCGCAAAAGTCGGTAAAATAATGGCCCAGTACCTTTAAAAGGCTACTATTCTACATACTTTCATGCTCTGAATGCTATAACCCAAACTCCAAATCCCAAGCTGCAGGCCCAGGGCCTCAGGTCCAAACCTCAAGCAGGGCCTAAGATACGAGGCATTTTGGTTTCTGGGGGGGATATGTTATAGTATAGTTCTACGGAGCCTATGGAGGACCTTCGAATACTATTTACTCAAATCCCAACATCGAGCAAACCCTGAACACCAAGGCCACCAACTCTAAAATCCTGAAACCCCTAAACCCACAACTCCGAAACCCTGGACCCTAAGGATTGAGGCCCAGACCTACGAACAGCCGGCAAACGAGAAAAAGACCCGGATCGCCGCGAAGCGCAAGGGCCTCAGTGAGTCTCTAGGGCTGAAGCTTCAATGTTTATTGCTCGCAGCTTCAAGGGTGTTTAGGGTTTAGGGTAGGACTTAGGGTTTTGAACGACCCTTTTCCGTCTCGCACAATCCAGAAGCGAACTCTCACTGGGCGTTTAGTGAAGCTGCTTTAAACAGTTTAAGGGTTCAGGGATCAGGGTTTATGGTGTTTAGGACGGGGTTTAAGATTTAGGATATAGGGCTTGGGGATTGCAAGGTCACATCATCTCGAGGGTTGAAGATGTTCAGACTTGGATGTAGATTTTTGTGTCAAGGATTCGGGGTCCAGCATCTGATGAAACGCTACGCCCTGAACCCTGAATCTTAACCCTTAGGCCACCACAAGCTTCAAGGTTTGTCAGGTACACCATGGTATACCTGCAGCCCTCAAGGCCTGCATCTTTAGGATTCCTTACACCTTATGCTGTAAGCCCATGACGCCCGTTGGACTTTTACAGTTTTTCGGTTGCCGGTAGCATGCAGCATGTATGCTTTGGGCGATGACAGGGCTGAGGGCCATGCTGCATACTGCAAAAAGGCCATCATCAAATGGTGCAGTAACAAAAATGCTCGTAAGCCATACAAAGCTGCAGCGACGGCAGCAACACGGAACATGGAGCTCGTCGATTTGCCGAGGCCCGCGATGCGGGGCTCGTCCCACCAGGGTAGCTCGATCTGACTATTGATGCGACAAAAACCGAGCTGATGAGCAGCGGCACCAATAGTCAACGCGATGAACCAGGCCGTCTTTCAGGGTGGCGAATGATCGCTCGGCAATGATCTGGCCAAGGATGGGCGCAAGGTCCAGCGTCCAGGGCTCAAGGATCTTATAACATGCTTGGAGCAATCTGCATACGTAGCTCGTACACCTGCGAGCAGGTTGGTTCGGATAAATATTCTATACCTAAACCATCCTAAACCCTAAGGGTTCATGTAACCAAGTAGTATCTACTTTGGGCCTAATGTACCTATATAGGGAGTAATTAAATTGAGACCAAAGTCAATGTACTAGTTGGGTACATGGACCCCCAAGTAAGTCGGCTGTAAGTACCTATAGTCTCCATTGTAGTTCCTTTTTGGGGCTACCTTATAGGATCCCAATTGTATATTTGGCTAAACCAAAAAAGGAACTGCAATGGAGACTATAGGTAGAGTTATAACTGGGGGTAAGTCCATTTAGGGTACATATACCTCTACTTACAACCCACTTACTAAGTCCCCTGGGCCTCTAAGTAACCTGAATCCCCCCTACTATAGAACCCGTAAAGATCCCTTTTTAAGGAACCCTTTAAGCAACCCATACCTAAACCCTAAACCTGGACAAGTGTTGGAGAATCTGGTCTTCTGTGGAGCTTGACGAATTGAAATGTGGAATTCGCGACTTCCGGCTGCAGGGTTTAGTTCGGTTCCAACATTTCGGGTTTGAGGTTTATAGGGATTAGGAATGTTTCCTGCCTGAGTCTGGGACTCAATAAGCAAGAATTCCAGTTTAAGCGTACCGGTTTACCTTAGCCCTTTTGAAACCTACATGTTCATCAATCCGTCTTTTCATATCTGTACCAAGTATACAGTTCGTACACAATGTAAGGGATCAGGGTTACTGTTCAAGGTTAACGTCAGATCAGCAACCGTGGAGTTGAGTTTGCTGTCCAACGACCAGGGGATTTCGAAGGCTAGCCTTTATGGTAGATATAGCATGCTACAAGGTTATCCACAACCAAGTAGGGTTTAGGGCCCAGGGTTTAGGGTGTAGGGTATGAAGCTAAAACACACCCACAACGCAAACGGCTTGTTTCTCAGGACTCTCCTCCTTTTCCTCGCTATGATCACTATGTCTGACCTCTGAGGAAGGTCATGGTGACAAACAACTATTGTATTTCTATCGTTGTACGAGCACGATGATATCCCATGAGTCATCCGTCGACCTGTAGCTACTACTGGTGAAGCTCCTACTTCCTACCACCATGACGACTACCTTTGCGGTTTCCACCTCTGATATTATGCTGCAATGGGAGTTTCCGAACATTAGAGTAATTAATTACATTATTTCGGGGTCATTATCATAAGGGTCCTATTATTTAGGGTCCCCTATTTTCGAAAACTCCCAAATAATATTGCTCGACTCTTTAGCATGGCAACCGTCGAATTTCTAAGCCCCGTGCGCAGTCCCCGCGCGCGGCCATTGAGTCCTCGATGTGTCATTGTCGTATGAAATCGAAGTAGAATAGAGTACTTTATGATACATTATAATATACCTTTAGGCCAGGGCTTTGGAGCTTAGAGACTGATCGACTGGCGCGCACGCTCAAAGAACTCTCGAAAAATGTGTGGTTCGGTGATTTTCCAAGGCGGTGTAGGTGCCTTTTGGGGTTCCTGCCAGCCAAAGCATGAGTTCGGAGTCTTATCCTCAACTCGAAGCATGTGGTTGATGGGAGACTCTGGGGTTAAGTGTATGGGAATAAGGCTTTGCTTTTCTAACAGTGATGCGGCTCCGTTTCTTAGACCATCAGATTGCCTTGGGACATCCTCTCTGCCCTTCTTCAGCTACATTTCGTCCTGTTCTTGTGTCTTTGTGTCTTCGCTTCATGCAAATAAAGAACATGGAGGGGCCGACAAGCTCACCTCCTGCACCAAAGCCTTATTTTGGCCAGACACTTCGCGATTCTAAATCCCTCAGCTCTGCACACGTCCGAGTATGCTTCAGGCCCGGTAATAACAGTGTTGGTGTATTTTGCACTGGGAGGCTGAAGGGAACAGAAGCAATCTTCAGACTGATTGCCATAGCCGCAGCCGCCCAAGTTCCCGAACCATGTAACGTAACAAAAACTTAAGGACCTAAATATGAGACCACCCGTAAACGCTAAACTTGGTGACTTGAACCAAAAACTCTGAAACCGTAGACAGCTGCCTAAATCCGTATACCCTGGCAGCCGTCGAAACTACACCCCGGGCCCAAAACGCAAACCCTAGGTCCTGATGCCCCAACATCTTGTAACATAGAGGCCTTAAAAATAGAATAGGGTTTGGGGTATATTATACTCATCTTGTAAAATAGAGGCCTTAATAATTAGAAAAGGGTTTTGGGGTGTATCGTCATTGAGGCTATATGTTAGCTTCTGTCAGGGAATTTCGATCAAAGGCCTATTTATGGCGCTTAGAAGGATTATAGGGAACCCCCAAAATAGTATACGTCATTATTAAGGGCCGTCTACCACAGAACCCTACTATAGATCCCTTATAGACCTCTTAAAGGAACCCCCCCCAAAACAGTATAGGTCACTATTAAGGCCCCTCTAGTACTTCGAGGGCCGCTGCCTGGTCTTGGTCTGCTTGCACATCCGAAGGCCTCCAGATGAGATTTTGGGAGTTTCCGAAAATGGGGATCTTTAGGGTTCCTTTATGGGGTTACTATAGGGGTACTATAAGGGTTCCTTTAAAGGACGACCCGTAGGGCTCCTTTAAAGAGTGACTATGGGGATACTATAAGGGCTCCTTTAAAGGACTCTATATGGGTGGAGTTTCCGAGAATGGGGACCCTTAGGGTTCCTTCAAAGGGTTGCTAGAACGGTACAATATAGGGTTGAGGGTTTACGGTTTAGGGTTTAGGGTTTAGGGGTTTAGGGTTTAGGGTGTAAGGGTTATATGGGGTTTCCGGGAAAGGGGACCCTAATATGGTACCCTATATAAATAGTTGGATCCCCATGATAAGAACCCCAAAATAAGGTACCCGTAATCTCCGGAAACTCCTATTTAGGGAATTTTCAGGATTGCATGGGGTTTAAAGACATGTTGGTTTTGTATGTCCTTGATCTCCTCTTTCGGTTCGAGGCAATTAGAGCTCCAGGATTTAGGTTTAGGGGTCGAGGTTATTGGGTTTAGGGACTTAGAGATTTAGGGGCTTAGGGCTTATCATCCTGACACTGAAAGCTTCACACAGGTGAAACAGTAAACAGGTGGAACGTGGGAAGCACCGGTATGGGTAGTTGGGAATTCATGTTCACCAAGTGTCCTCTGAGTGTTCCATAGGAGTGAAACTGTAAAGCCTACAACCGAAATCAACTTTATAAGCCTTCCGTTCCGCCCCCCATAAGGACAACATTAAGGTCATCCACAGGTTTGTGTTTTCATCGGAATGGTTCGGGTAGTTCACGGCGCAGGGCTTCGTGTTATGAATCGTATTAGCGTGGAGCGGTTATCCCAAAACCTGCAATTAAGGCGGCGACTGAGACCCTGAAACCTGAACCCTCGGGGTGTCTGAGACAGTCCCGGGGAGAAGCCTCAAGAAGCGGAGTTCCATCTGCAGAGAATGGGCCCCGGCGGCCTCGCAGAACAACTTTTTGTGGGGCCTTCAGGGTTTGGGGATTTAGGGCCATAAGGATTTAAGCCTTCGGCTTAGGAAATCAATACCCCTTCGCACTTTTGCAACAGATTGGTCAAACCTGGTTCTAAGTAGCTACCACAATAAGACAATAGAGGAAATTGTCTCGCAGTGTACGAATTAGCCTAGACCCACCAACTACCCTCTATTACGCCCCAAGTACCCATTATTAAGGACCATAAGGGCTCTGTTACAAGGCCGTTTGGGGGTCCTGGAGCACTAAGGGTTAAGGCTTCCTATACTAAGGCGTCCAGCGATCTGAACTCCTAAAGCCCTCAACGACAGCGTCCGCAAACCCACAGCCTGATTCGTAAAGGCCCAGGAGCAGGAGACTCGGACAAAAACAAAAGTACTGTAAAGAACAGACCCGAAGCCTTGAAGTTAAGACGACGCTGGACTTCCGTCGACGATTTCGGCCCTAAACCCTATAATTAACCCTGAACCCTAAACCCCTGAACCCCAAACCCTGAACCCCTGAACCCCGAACTCCAAACCCCTGAACCCCACAGCAGTCAACCCAAAAGCCGCCTCAAACTTTGGAGACACCCAGGCAGGAGGCGCCCTTGGCAGCTCGGATGCTTTCGTCACCGTCCGAGTTGATTTTTGTTAGGGACCCCAAAAGGACGTAAGCATAAGCATTTTATAGGGATATCCCTACCCTACTCTGGGCTTCTTTTAGGGGGTGTAGATGGGATATATCCCTACCCTATTTTTAATCATGCGCTTATGGAACTAGTGACTAGCGCGGTTCGTGCGGATGCTTCATTGATCATGGCAGTATTGCGACTTTGCCGCTAGCACCTAGCCGCGCCATGGAACTTATCCGGTCACAGCTTTGATCATGCATGCTCTGAGGGATACGGACTCCTTGCCACTTCCAGATATCGAGAGCTGACCATTGGTGGCAGGAGGTTACCAGAGACTATAGAACAAGCGTCTAAGCCAAAGCGCAAGTCTAAGTACACTACATCTAGCAAACGATAGCGGATGCGGGTTGAAGCAGCAGCAGTGATGCTTTCTGCTTGCTGCCGCTGGCGGCGTAAACCCTGCAAGCCCTATAATAAGCCCTGTAAACCCTATCCCTGAACACTCTAACCCCCCAACCCTAACTCTACACCCTTTTACTTAAGGGGCTGAGTACCCTCGCCCAGCAAAGGTCAACCTTTGCAATTATGGTAGGATTATATCAAACCCCAAAAGGTTAAAGGATACCTACTCAGCTACGAAGTTTACCCCAAATAAGGTGCCCGCGACACCAGATCGCTCCGGAGGGCGAGTTTCGCGATCTGCTGGGCAGCGTCCTGCGGGGGTCCCGAGCATCCCTGAAGAGTTCGGAGCGGGATTCTGGAGTTTGTCATTTAGGGATTTAGGAATTTAGGGTCTCGGAGTGTGTAGCATTCGGGATTCTTGGGTGATGCGGGGGTTTGGGATTTGGGGCTCCGGATTCGGGGCTACTTCGCAGTGACTTAGGAAGGAGCTCCAGACGCAACCCTCCCCCCGTCGGGTTTCCCCTCGCCAGGAGACCTCCACCGTAATCCCGCGGACCTATACGGTTTAAGGTCGAGAGTGTAGGGTTTCGGCTCCCTTACTAAGTCCCGAACACTCTCACCACCAGAAATTCTAAACCCTCCCCCCCTTAGCCCCCCAACCACCCAAGATCAATCCTTCCCGAAGAATCACTACGACAATTCCCTTGTTGTCCCAATGCTGCTTTATAATTCGTAACTCTAGTAGAACCCGTAAGAATTATATTCCAATTACTAGAGCGTAACTGCAAACCCTAAACCCTGAACCCTAAACTAATTACCCTAGACACTAAACCCTCAATTCTATTCCCTCAACCCTAAGCTGTGAACCCAAAGGCCTAAACTCGGAACCCTGAGCTCGAAAAACCCTGCTCCACAAAGTCCTTGATGATCCAATCGACCTTGCGAGTAGGAATATTCTCGACCTCCCGGATTGGAGCGGCTTCAATATTCAGGGCTGAAGATACGGGGTTCAGGGTTCCGGGCTTGGGATTTAGGGTTTAGAGTCAGGGGCTTGGGTATTCCGGTTTAGGTGTGGGGTGTAGGAGTTTAGGGTTTGGGATAGAAGAGGGCAGTAGACGGCTTACAAGGGTGAACGAACTGCTTTCGTGTCTAGAACAGTTGGGGGCAACGGTTCTTTGTGGCTTACGCTTTAGGGGTTTAGGGCCTAGGTACTGGAATTCAAAGTTTAGGATTTGCGAGGGTTTTCGACTTCGGGTTGAGAGCTTTAGCAGTTCAGGGTAACTTTCTGGTGTTCTGAGTCTGCCTTGTCATTCAACTCAGAATCCTACAAGCTTGCAACCTTACCATATCAAGGACTATTACCTGAATCAGGGCGAGGATTCATCCAAAGGGGCCCCTGAAAATATTAAGCAGTTTGGGGTTTAGGGTTTAGGGTTAATGTGTGCTAGTTTTCCGCACCTCCTCCTGGTCGAACCCTCATGCATCAAACGGCCAGACCTACAGCTTGAACCCCACTATGACCCAAGCCCAACTCTCAGGCTGCAGGCCTCAAAACCCAGTAGCCGAAGAACCCCAGAGCTCTGCTATTAGGGTAGGGTTTAGGGTTTAGGGTTTAGGGTTTAGGGTTTAGGGTAATCTCAACGGCCGGTTGCAAAGAGGGCATACTTACGAGGCTCTATCACAGTATCTGGAAGAACTTCTGGCGTCGACAATCGTGTCTTAGCGATGATTAAAACATGGGGCAGTTGATGAGGTGAAGAGACAAAAGAGGAGCAACAAGAACGCCGTTTCGCCGCACACTACCAAAATCATCCGCTGTTGTTCCTGATCCCAAGCCCAAATCCTGCAACGGAAGCTCTTGATTTACGGTTGCATGGAAAAGGGTCCAGGGCGCACGACCAATGTTCAGTGAAGTTTGGAACCCCATCCGGCCAAACATGGGCTATCCCTAAAACCCTAAACCCCTAGGGCAAAGAATGAACTCAAAGCCCGCCCTTCCTAATCCCCGAATGCCACACCCCAGACCTCTCTGTAACAAGAGATCAATGCCAAACACAAGCCGCCACTGAACCCTAAACCCCAAACCCCAAGACCCCTCAACACACTCCACTAAATCCCAAACTGTAAACCCTACCATCAAGAGCGCGCAGGCCTCGGCAATGATGTTGTCAAGTCGAGTCGCTCGGCCCTGGTCCAAAAGAGTCGATGAAGGTAAGGCAGTGTGGGGGTTTAGGGTTAGGGCACAAAACCCTCCAAATTCCGATAAGAGGAGTCATGGCACCCTGAAACTCACCTGCAATTCCGACAATCCGAAGGTCCTGAACACAAAGCACGCCGAAGCCCGACCCTTCCTGAAACTGCGCATGCGACACGCCCAGAACATGGCACCCTCAGGCCTCTTGCCAAGGGTCTGAACAGCCAGGCCACATCGCTTGAACATGATTGCTTTTCACGCATTGATCCCGAAGATCCTAAATCCTAAAGCCTACGGCCTAAAGCTCCGGGCCCTAGCTCCACAACGAATATCCGCCGTTGCCAGGGCTCGCACGTCCAAGACGTCGAGCAAATTTCCGTGTTCTTTACCTCAGCCGCAACAGGTTTTGTTGTGTGCGTCGGTATACATTTGTTTACCTACCCGTGTATTGTATAGGTCAGGTGCACCAAGAGAAAAAGAGACAACGAACGTTTATCTCTCGGCCTACACATTCCCATCTTGCCATCGATCCATGTAGCTATGATAATAAATGTACGTGTGGGTTTCATTTACGTGCTTATGCATCTTGACTCCATGATGTAGGATGGACTCTGATCTACGTACCAGAACCTACTTGTTATGAAGGTCCTTAGTACTATCGAAATACGATCGAACTTGCAGGGGCCCTACCAACAAGTTCTGGTAGGTTAAGGTGGGGTTCGAGAGTCCTGTCAGCCCCCGAGGCCCCCCTGCAGTAGACAGGTTAGGGAGAGGGTTTGGGGTTTGGGGGTTTAGGGTTTAGGGTCCTTGAAGGAGAGGCCGTAAACCCCACGCCCTGAACCAAGGCGTGTCTGAACCTTTTGAAGAGCCCATAAGAAGGAACCTTTGAAGGCTAAATCCACCCTTTAAAGAAGGTAAAAGCTACACCTTGAACTCTAAATCCACCCTTGAAGGAGTATAAACCCCGAACCTTGAACTCTAAATCCACACCTTAAGGAACCTTTGCAGAAAAAAGGGGAAACACATCCTAAGCACCCTAAGCCCTAAACCCAAAGACTCCTCCCTAAACCCCAAACCCTAAACCCTAAGACTCCCAAGCCCTGGGCGAAGCATCTGCTCACGGTCTCGGAAATCACCCGACGCCTTGCCCACCAGGTCCTCGCAACATGAGATTGACGTTTTAGTCGGTGCTTCTCGTCTGGGAGACGGCCCTTATTCTGAGGATTCTCATTCCATGCAGACGTAATATGGGAGTTTCCGAAAATGGAGGACCCTAATACAATATCCTAAATAGTAGAGTTCTCATTATGAGGACCCCAAAAAAAGGTATCCCTATTTTCGGAAACTCCCAGAAACCTTGTAGGCGGAGACCATCAGTTCTGAGTTTATGCGTGGATTAACGGCTTCAGGCAATAAGCACTATAGCCCTAAACCTGGCGTGCTTGCGACTTTGAAGTTCGAGTCCTGAAGGTTACATTCTACTATAGGAGTGGTAACCGTTGGACCTCGGGAATATTGTTGTGCATGGGGGCTGCAAGAGAATGCTATTCCTCAATAGTCCGACTCCTATGATATGGGAGTTTCCGAAAATAGGGGACCCTAATATAGTGCCCAAAATAGTAGGATTCCCATTGTAAGAACCCCCGAAATATGGTACCCCTAATCTTCGGAAACTCCCATAGTAACGAGTCTTCAAATGTCCAATGACGGTTTGGCGGCCCAAACTCCTCCAATGCATTGCGGTTCGCTTCGACCTGGGGCGAGGACGCTTCAGCAGATGGCTCAACGCCAAACCGTAAGCTTTAGAGCTTAGGGTTTAGGGTTCAGGGGTTTGGGGTCTAGGGTTTAGGCTAATTACCGGGGCCTTCACAATTAATTAGAGTGCTCTTATAGCATATTTTGGGGACAGAAAACTTGTCAATGCATCACCAAGTCATAGCGGGCAAGTGGACCATGTGTTTTGGGTGATGCCTTCGGGACATCTCACTGGTTGATTGTGGAGATTGCAGCCTTATTCCCGCCACCCCCAACGGGAGTGTTGCTGCAATGCGCGCTTCGGAAGGGTTCTGGCTGTTGCAATGGTGTGCGCTGTCATAGGTGCAATCGTCAGCACTTACTGTGGAAGCTGGTGTGACTGCCGCGGAGAGATGTTGTGGTTAGCACGGGTTGGCATACTGCACTTAGACCCTTAAACCTGAGTCCGAAAACTTTGAATTCAATCCTGAACATATCATGGGCTTTTCCAAAACACTACGCGCTACATCCTGAATCCATGCTCTAGGATCGAAATTAAACAGAAGCCAGCATCCAAACACGCCCTCAATCCCCAAGATCTTTTTGCGTTCAAGGTTCCTCCGGGAACTCTGAGTATCAATACTTCCTGCCTCTCAACCGGGAAAACTGCAAACCCTTTCCGGATTTCCGGTGCGATCCGACATCCAAACCTACGGGGAGCCCGCAGCTCTTGGAGCCCCTAAATTGTAAGCCCCAAACTTTCGATCAAAGGGGAAAAGGAGGGACCCTTACTGGGGACCCCTACCCTATGATGGGCTATATAATGGGTATATAATAGCTATATTAAGGGTATATACCTAGGGGTCCTGATTAAGGGTCCCTCCTTTTACCCTTGGAGAAGCACAAAAAACTCTGCAAAAGGCTCAAGTCCCCTACCCCCCTCCCCCCTAAGGGTCCTTATGACTAAACCTTTAAGAGAAAACTCTCCTGCAAGCCACAGAAACCTGTATGACAACCGAAATATGAACAAACAGGTCTAGAACTAGAAAACCCGTAGAGAAATCCTGGTAGGAACCCCTATCGGAGCCCTGACCCCTAAACCCCAGACCTTGAACTCAAGCCCTGAACTTGCAGTTGGGACCTCCAGCCTTTTCGGAAACGTTCGGAAAACCCTAAACCCTAAACCTAACCCTAAACCCCTAAACCCTAAACTCTAAACCCTAAACCCCTCAAAGCTAAACCTGAAAGCAGACCCTTACTTAGAGTTGGGACCTTCTTGCTCAAATAGTCAAGGTCGGCCGCGAGGTTCTCAGCGAACGTGTCCGCCTCCACGCGACAAGGTACAGGGGTTTAGGGCTTGGGGTTCAGGGGTTTGGGGTTTAGGGGTTTAGGGCTTGGGGTTCAGGGGTTTGGGGTTTAGGGGTTTAGGGCTTGGGGTTCAGGGGTTTGGGGCCGGTATAGGGCTTTAGGGCTTAATGTTCAGGGGTTTGGGGTTTAGGGGTTTAGGCTTTAGGTGTAACGAGGGGTCTTCAGACGGGCCATTTCTACAGAGGTCCTTACCGGGGCCTTGATAAGTAGAAAAGGGTTCCTGTAAGGAGTGTACTGCAAGGCTTTGTTATCAAGATGTTCCTGCTTTTTAATCGACCCCTTTCCTCTCGGTATCCGCATCGTGGAACTACGTACTCTATTATATATGTATGGCCCTCTTGGCCACGCAAAGGCGCATTCAAAGTTCACACTGGTCCTGGAAGACAGCATCCCACAGCCCTAAACAATAACCACGAAGAATTCTCGCAACCTACATTTCAGGTTCTCAGCCCATCACCCTTTTGATATTGCGAGGGGCATACGAACCAGCAAAACCAAGCCAGATCCTCGCGGCTACCGGATAGAAGATCACGAGGGATCCTTGCTAGAACCATGTCACAGACCTTTTGTATTCTACTATAGTAGCCTTATAGATCGCTATAGTATCCCTTTTTGGCAACCCCTTTAAAGGAACCCGATTCTAATGATTCAGGCCCCAGTATTATTGTATTCAAATCCTTATATGAGGCTTGCGGGGCTGAAGTTTCAGGGCTTCTTCAGCTCGTGCGGCTTAGGGCTCAGGGGGTTCGGGTTTAGGGTAATGGGTTTAGGGGTTTAGGGGTTTAGGGGTTTAGGGTTTTAGGGTTTGGTTTAGCATTTAGAGGTTTAGGTTTAGGGTTTAGAGTAAGATTTGGGCTGGCCCCCTGAGGCGTATAGAATAATACCCCATGAACTTCTGTAGGGTTCCTAACTGGCTATGGCTCCCAAGCAAGATCTTCAAGCGAGAAGACCATACTATCTTTAAGTTCGGGTATACCACAGGTAGGTCTTAGCTCTCAGCCCAGAACTTTTATAGACGTCCCCGAACCCTAAACACTTTTAAGGCTCGTTTTTAAACAATCTATGGCTTTAGGGTTTAGGGCTCAGAAGCCAAAGTATACCAGGGCGTGTCTATACTGAACTTAGAACCCTAGCAAAATTATGATTTTAGCTGTTTCTTAGGGGTTATAATAACAAAAATTATTCTAAGTAAGCCTAAGGTGTAGGGCTGACAGCGGCCTTGTCCATCCGCGATTCGAAGTAGGCAGCTTGCCGCTCCTGTACCGGTCTGGGAATTCAGCTCGAGTTCAGGGCTGAGGGATTGGAGATTAAGGGCTTTTGGGTATATGGTTCAGAGGTTTAGGGTTTAAGGTGTTAGGGTTTAGGGTTTTGGGGTTCAAGGTCATCGAGTTTGTACCCCAAAGGCTCCATGTACCCGTATAGTGGGTACTTAGGCCTTAAAGGGGTCCCTATATAGGCACTTTAAAGCCTAAGCACCTACTATATGGGCACATGGAGCCTGAGGGTTTAGGGCTGTAAACCCATGAACCCCCTGAAGCCCTTTTTCCACCCTGGGCCTCAAACTTCTAAACCCCCAAAAGCCCAGACCCCAATTCCGACACCGCTCAGCCTCAAAAGTGGGCTTTTGTCTTCCACGGCTTTGGCTTGAAGGCAGTAGGCGTATCAGGTCTCAGTCGTTCAAGAATCAAGAATAGGGGTTTGGGGTATATTGTTTAGGGGTGTTGTGTTTGTTGGGTTACCGGTTTACAGTTTCGGGGTCTGCGGCTTAGGGTTTGAGGGCGCTCAGAGCTTTGATGAGTGTCGGGTTTACTTTGAAGCTGCAGGGCCCGTGGGCTGCAGGGCTTTTGGCCGGGAAGCGGAAGGGTAACGCGCTCGATCAGTATAAGCCACGAAATAGCCCCTGCCGTTTTTGGGCTTCAGGCTCAGTTCTCGACATCCCTGGCGAAGAGCTGCGCGTATGATTCGAAGCTACTGGTACTAGGGGCAAGGGCTCTGGGCGGGGTGGGCAAGCTGCGGCATGAGATATCATACCATGAGCAAGCAGAACGGCAGCATCATAGCTAGTACGAAGCGAACGCCGGCGATGGCAAGAGCCCAAACCCGAAAACGACGAGATTTCGATACATGTTTGGGAAATGCACGGACTAGAAGTCAGATGCTGATGATGTTGTTGGGTTGTTTTCTTGGGTTCTTATAAGGGCTTTGTGCAGGCTGGGCTGGGTGTTAAATTGGTCATTGCCCTGCAAATTCCGTGTGAAGTCCCATAACAAACGTCGCAAAAGCTCCATGAACCCAAGTTCCATAGAGAAAGCCCTTACAAAGCCCCTTTGAATCGCGGTAGGTACCCTTACAAGCTACTTTCAGAACTCTTTTCGAGCGCTTCTAAGCAACCCTCTTACAAACCTCCAGAAACCCCTCCCAAGCCCCTTGTAAAGCGTTTATCCAGCCCAATACCAGAAACGTCTTAGAAACCAGAGTCATCACGTGTGAAACCTATCTAACAGATCGAACCGTCTATTTAATATAGTATACTCTAGACTACAGTGTCTTAAAGTATCATAGAGTATGCTCATATACAGCATATGAAAAATGTAGAACCTTAAACCCTAAACCGCCCGCCTGCGTGTCCTTGAGCTCGGCCTTCGTCCGTTGTAAAGCCTCGGCAGCCGCGACTAGGGGCTTTCGGTTCAGGGGTCCCGACTCAGGGGAGTAGTGTGCCCTCACATAGGGGCCTTAATAGTCAGAATAAGGTTCCTTGTAAAGGGTATTATAAGGGATACTATAAGGGATCTATAGGGGTACCATGGTATAGGGGCCTTAGTAGTCAGAATAGGGTTCGTTTGAAAGGGCATTTTAAGGTTACGGTTACTATAACAGAAGGCGTCTGTCCAGGAGCACGTCCTCCTCCAGGGCGATGCTGGAGGCATGGCTTGTGCAGTGCAAGTCAGTGGCTGCCGCCTGCTGTGCAGAACGTTGCGAGGCAAAGTAGGCGGCAGCCACGAGGCTGCTCCACAAAGTGCGCTGGACCCCAAGACTCCAATACCCCTTAATTAAGGAATATACCTTAAATTATAGTAGGATCCCGAATATGATTTAAGGAATATTCCTTAATTAAGGGATATTGGAGTCTCTGGGGACCAGCCCGAGAGTTCGTCCGAGCTTGCGGGGCTGGCGTCATTGAAGAGCGGTTGCGAGGCAGAGCGATGCATTTCCTGTGCAGAGCGACGCAACAATTCCGACATGGGCGATGCAGGTTGCTGGGCACTAGTTGAAACTGAAAGTAAGTTCTCTAAACTTGATTCTTAAGGGTACTATGGTATAGGGGGCCTTAATAGTTCGAATAGGGTTTTGGGGCACACTGTACTATAATCGTAGTAAGGAACACCCAAACTGGCATTGGTAAGTATTTCGGGCCCATAGTAGTTACAAGGGTGCAGGGTGCTCCAATAGGCCTACTTCCCAAACACCTATGGGGAAAAATCAAACTTTCCACTAAGACTATGCTATAAGAGCACCACAAGTTGAAAGTTGGACTTTGGGCCGCTATACACAAGATTCCCGGCAATGGCCCATCTAGAAGCCTGATTCATTAGCGGTACTCATAATATAATACACCGGCAAACTGGTCTGACTATGCCGACCCCTACACTCCGAAACCCTGCAACTCTACCCTAAACCCCAAAATCTCCCATGCCCCCCATGCACGCCCCAAGAGCGTACAGAAAAAACATACCCTAAACCCTAAAACGCTAAACCCTAAACTCCCTAAACCCCTAATCCCTAAACCTCCTACACCCCGAAACCTTGACGCCCTAAACTCCACCCTAAACCCAAACCGCATACAAGCTCTCGCCCCCTCCACTCTTCAGGCTCTCGCAGTCATCGCGTGCTCGCGTGTCTCCTGGGCAATCGCTGGCCTAAAGGTTTGGGATTGGGATATAGAGGTTAATTAAGGGTTTAGGAACTGCGGTATGGAAAGTTTTTTGGACATCCCTTCTCCGTTCGCCGAAGTCCAGGGTATGGAGGTTTGGGCTTAGGGTATAGAGGTTCTAGAAAGAAGTATCACCGCGGCGATGACGACAATGATGCCGATTGATGACCATCGATGTGCTAACGGTACTCCTGTGGTAACACTCGAAACAGTCACAGAACAAGTTCAAGCGGAGTGTGCCGGTGGGCAAAAAACTCTAAACCCCTAAACCCCAAACCCCTAAATCCCTAAACCTTAAAAAAAAGCCTACACCCTTAAACCCTAAACCCTCATAGATCCCTTAAAGGAACCCGTATAGATCCCTTAAAGATCCTTTAAAGTACCCCTTCAAGGAATCTCCCGCCCTAACCCCAAAACGAGTGTCCTGCTCCGAATCCTTGAGAGCTTTCGTAAGTAGCTCGTTGTTCTGGTGCATCCTTGGGAAAAGTGCAAATGAGGGCGAGCGTTTACAGATTCAAGGTTCAAGGGATGGCGTTTAAGGTTTCGGGCTTAGGGGTTTAAGGGTTTGATGCGTTCCGGAGGGGGGGGGGGTCGGGTTTGGAGGGGAACATTTGTGGAGCCCCAAAACCTGGTGTAACTCTTACCAATCGATCTTGACTCAGGGCGATTCGTGTAGACCCTGTAGAGCTAGGGATTAACAGGGTTTAGGGTGCAGGGCTCCGAGTTCACGAGATGACGTCATCAACGCTTTCATGGACAGGGAAACCCACAGTTACCGATACCAACTTCACAGTTTGTGGCTTAGGCTTCGGGGTTTGGGCCAGAATCGGTTTGACATGTGTAGTGTAATGATTAGGGGAGGAGGCTTACTTACATGTCGTCCTCCGCAGGCAACCGACCATCCAAAAAAAGTGTCTAATGTTCGTTTTGGAGCCTGGCTAATGCTGGTGGCTGTTGTGCTTATAGCAAGATAAGAGGGTTTCATTTAAAAACATAGAGGGTTTTATAAAGACCCTCTTTATAAAAAGCCTCTATAGCAAGATAAGGAAGGTTACAGGGGCTATTCAGGGATAGTATTACTTGCTACTAACTACCTTTTTGAGACCTTCAAATCATTGTAAGTCAGACTCGATGGGTGCCTCAACTGCAGCTATAGATAATCTGGCCGGCTACTAGAACTACCAACACTCCAAACCGTTCAGGTAGGTGTGTTACAGGACGTTCAGCCACGTACGGCCATGGAGGATGACAGGTACAGATAGCCAACCATCCTAAACGCAACATCCCAAATCACGAAAACCCAACTCTGCAGCAAAGAAGATTACCTAGACGCCTCCATAGTAGGGTACCCTAGCCCTGATCCAGTAAGATGGGATTCTCTGGTTGTGTCTAAAATCTAGGTGGATCTCCTCATTTGGGCAACGTTTGGATACCCCAAATACGCATTACTAAGGCCCTTTATGGCTCTGTTAGAGTGTCCTTGGGGGTCCTAGTTGACCTAACCCTAAACCCTAAACCCTTAAACCTAAACCCTAAACCCAAAACCCTAAGCCCTAAACCCTAAACCCTAGCTCTAAAAGCCTTGACCACCCCATCCCCGACCTTCTAGAAGACTACTTGGAGGGTCTTTAGGGGACTTAGTAAGTAGGTAGTAAGTAGACTTATAAGTACCCTAAAAGGGACCCTCATTGGGGTTATGATACTTATAAGTCCCTAAAACCCCCGACCCTCCAAGTACAGATCCGTGCAGAACCCCTGTTTCCTATAGGTAGTTGTGCAAATTATTAGGCCCCTTTTTGGGTTCCCTAAATATTAGGTGCCGTACTATAATAGGGACCCAAAGAAGGACCATAATTTTGACAACCACCCATATAGGTGCCTTGTTCGGAAGCCCAAATTTACTAGTGTTACTGCTACTGCCAGAGGTTCCCCAGTAGCCGTCAGTAGCCCCTTCACAAGAAGGATCGCGACTGTTTGGTTCTCACAAGGATGCCCCAAACAAACAAGGCGAAAGGGTACTGCTGGGACACATAATATTGCCCGAAACCCCAACTCCAATCCCTAAACCCTAAGCCCGAATCCCTAATAAACCCAATTCCTAAACCCTGAGCCCCAATTCCTAAACCCTAAACCCAGTCCCTAAACCCCGTTACCCAGAGGCTCCATGGTAGTTCCTTTCTGCGGTTACCTTGTAGGATTCTAAATATGAACCCCAAAAAGGAACTAATATGGAGCCTATGGTTAGACCCCTAAACCCTGAACCCCCTAGATACCAAAGATCAGAGCCCAACCGTGAGCTAAGCCTTGGACAGCACCCGAGACTCGCTCCGCATCACGGCCATGTTGGCCGAAAGCTCGCGACCTGACTTCGGGACATGCCCGAACCCGAAACCCCGAAGCCCTAAACCCCAAACCCCTAAACCCCTAACCCTAAACCCCTAAGCCCCTAAACCCTAAACCTTATATTGGGTTCCTGATTGTAAGGTTCCTTAGGGAGATCTAAATGGGTTTCTAGAGGGCTTCTATAGGGTGTGACTACGACTTAAGGCCAGCACAAATGCTGCCTTTTTTACACAAGTGTATATAGAAGCCAGAACAAACAACCCTAGGAAGGTTGGCTTTGTTCGGCTTGGGTTGGGGTTAAGGGCTCAGGGGATACCAGATCGGATTCCTTGCGGTTTGAGGCTTGAGGGCTTAGGGTTTAGGGCATTGGACTTAGGGTTTGGGGCTTAGGGCTGACTTTAAAGGAACACCCAAAAGAGTAATTACTGGTAATGATTCAGGCGCCTTTTCTACAGGCCACACCTTTGCCGATCTCAACTCGGCACCCTTTAGAACCTATGCGGGAGTGTCCGAAAATCAAGGACCCTAAGATTGTACCCTAAATAGTGGGTCCTCATTACAAGGACCCCCCCAAAATCGGGTAGCCCTGATTTTCGGAAACCAGGCAGGTTTAGGGCTTACACTTCCGATGGGCGGCATCCTGCAGGATCCAAAGTGCCCGGTGCAGTGCCCTAAGCTGTGCCAATACCCAGAGACTCCAATATCCCTTAATTAAGGAAAATACCTCAAATTGGAGTAGGATCCCTGATATGATTTAAGGCATATTCCTTCATTAAGGGAAATTGGAGTCTCTTGGTAGTTGCAGTGCTTGTTTCCGGCTAGGCAAGCGTATCTCCTGCAAACACGGTTGCTAGTGCAAAGCGGTATTTCGATAGGTAATGAGGCAAACCCCCCACGCCCACAACCCTGGATTGAAACTGAAACAAATGGAGAATAGCAGCCGCATGTAGAACAGCCCTCCGATTGGCGCTTGGGTTTTGCATTGCTTTGCAGAGCTGCTCTTTGTGTGGTAATGTTCTACGAGTTTTCCATGATTCCAAAAAAAGGCTGCATAGGGTTATTCAGGGGTTTGGGCATCAAAGTCGACGGTTTGGGCTTGCTTAGGGGAGGGCTTTCTCAGGGAAGCGGCTACGACACTACACTGGATCAAAGCAAGGGCAGTGTTATCATTTATGTCGTGGGGAGCATCTATACACCGGGTCCTATACCGTAAAGTAGGGCTTACGGAGTTTACAGGTCAGGGCTTAGAGCTCAATAAGGCCGTGACGGGTCAGACCAAGTTTGTCGTAGAGGTCGGTGATCTTTTCCTCGTGTCTCCTGCGGACTGGATGAGCTGATTGGGACCGAAAACTCCCTAAACCCTAAATCCTAACTCCGAAAACTCCCTAAACCCTAAACCCGAAAACTCCCTAAACCTCCGAAAACTCCCTAAACCCTAAACCCGAACACTCCCTAAACCCTAAACCCTAAACCCCTAAACCCTAAACCCCTAAACCCTAAACCCTAAACCCCTAAACCCCCTAAACTCCCTAAACCCCAAGCCCTCAGATCCGGACTGTACTTTGCAGAAGATTCGGGCTTGAACCCTAAACCCTGAACTCGAAATCCCTACAACCCGGAAACCACATCCCAAAAGCATAGACCGGGGACCACGATGACAAGGACGACTGCTTCACCGATGAGCAGAAACACAGCATTACTCCGAATCAAGCGAAACTGGCTACAGTAGGAAGAGTTTAGAGCTTGGGTGTAGGGTGCAGCATGTTCCCGAAACAAGCTCGCGCGGTCCACTCGGCAAACGGAACCCTTGGAAGAATGACTCGTTTTATACCCAACAAATATCCATTACAAACCTGAAATCCTCTGCCTCCAACACATGGCGCGACTACTGCAATCTCAACGGCTAAGATTTAGGGTTTAGGGCTCAAGTCGACCACCCCTATGTCGCCAACCCCCACAGTCGAATCCTTGAACCAACATCTTAGCAGCTTAGCACGAAGCCCTTAGCCGTTGACCTTGAACCTCAACCCCAACCCTAACACCTGACCCTAAACCTCAACCTGAGACGCTGATTTCTCCAGGCTTGACAAGGTGATGAGATTTAAATAGCAGAGCTACAGACCCGTGGAGATGTGTTGAAGTGAACCCCAAACCCAACAACCACCCTAAACCCTAAACCCTAAGATAGCTGCAGCCCACCTCATATCTTCGTTGATCCGGCTGTGCATGTCGGAGAGCTGATTCGACAGCCTTAGCGCGCCGTGGGAGACACCCATAGTGTACCCATCGGCCCCATAGTAGTTCCTTTTGGGGGATTACCTTATAGGATTCTAAATATTCACCACAAAAAGGAACTGCTATGGGGCCTTGAAGTAGAGCGTTTCGGGGTGTCACGGCTTCAAGGTGCTGGAGTTTATAGTTTTGGGGCCTGAAGTTTCGTGGGGGCTAGGATTTTGGGGTTGTTTCGGGTTTAGGGTTCTTCAATCGAGGGTTTGTGGGATGTTGCAAAGTTTCGGGCTTTGGGCGTTTCGGGTCGAGCTTCCGACTCTTGCTGGTGTTGGGATTTTGGGATTTTGGGATTTTGGGCGAGTTACGAGGGTGCTAGAATCGGTTTGCAAGGCTGTATAGTAGAAGCCAGAAAGTTGGAACATGGCTCTAGGAGGATTAGTGCTAGGATCCCTTATACTTTACCTCAAGGGCATGAGGATAATGATGTTCCAACTTTCTGGCTTCTACTGTAGTCAGGGTCGTTGAGCTCGAACATCCCTCAACACAGCTCCCGTGGTGGAGCATACTGTATCTTTGTGACATGCTCTTGGTTGAAGTTTGGGAGTGAAATGTGGCACATCTAGTATAGGGGCCTTAATAATTAGTATAAGGCTCTGGGGCCCATTATACATAATCATAATCAGGAACCCCCAAAATAGTGTTGGTAATTATTTAGGCCCCTATACTACCCAAACACTAAACCTTATAGTACCCTTCTAGAAACCTTATAGACCCTCGTAAATCCCTTAAAGAACCCTACTTATGCCGCTATATCATGGTCCTAAACCCTAAACCCTAAACCGTTAGATATCCATGTTGGGCTTGACGCTTTTAGGCTTTGCAGCAGGTTAGAGTTAGGGCTTCGAAGGTTAGCCCCTGCGAAGTCCTTGAAGCCTTGCCGGCCCTAAACACCTTCCGACCTGACTATATCTATCTATCTATATATATATATATATATATATATATATATGATTATGTCATACATATATATATATAGAGAGAGAGAGAGTGTGTGTATATATATATATATATACAAATATATACATATAGTCATATAGGGTTTAAGGTTTTATATAGGGACACCAACACCTTTCCTTCGGGCTTCTTAGTATCCTTGCTCGCAAAATTTACCAGGCGCTCTGTCAGGATCCCGAGATGCCGGCGATTGCTGAAACTCTTTCGCCGTCTTCATGGCTGTCTCGTGCAAACCTGGAGGATTTGGTTTTGCGAAATCCGGTGTCGGTAACAGATATTCTTTAGGGACGAAGACTCCTGCGATTTTCGAGGACTGCTGGAAGTTTCCATGCACCCCCGAGCGATTGTACACTTCAGCTGTACGCTGCTGCCGTCGTCCAGTGGGAACGACTTGGCTACAGGTATGTACTCTACTACACTATACTATACTAGACTAGAATCTGACTAGAGTATGTCCATATACCACACTGTCCCATGCTGTGCCATCATTGCTGCATTGAGGGCTTTCTAAGAAAAACTTTCAGAAGCTCCGGCTTTAGGTATCCTGCCCGCGAACCTTCGACAAACGCATTCAGCAAGTCAAGGAGCGATCCATGTTGGACGAGAGCTTCTGATGCTGCTCCATCGAGGCCTTTTCGTTGTCCTGCTATGCTTGGTTTAGGGTTTAGGGTTGAGGGGCTTAGGGTTTAGGGGTTTAGGGTTTATCAAAGTTCTGTTTCTTAACCAGATTTGGAGACTTAGAGTTGTTAATGCTTATGGGCTTGGGGACGTTCGAGGCGGTTATTACATCAATGTCTCATATATTCGAGGCAGCGATGGTCTGCGCGAGCGCATCAAATGCCAAAACACATCAACATTTTATGGAGTACGCGACGGTGCTGAGCCCCCACTAGTTTTAAGCTACTCTCAGGTTGTCGGTATCTTTGACGTCTTAGTTATTCGCAATACTAGTGGTTAGTTACTACAAATAGTACGAATACATAACAGAACACGAGTATTAGCTTTCATATAATGCGTACTAGGCGGCATAGGTTTGATGTTGCTCACCCCAAGCCCTAAACCCTAAACCCCAAACCCTAAACCCTAAACCCCTGCCTCCACACTCGTCTGAGTCGTCGCCAGCTTGGTGACCACGTCTTGCAGCCGTTCCGACCTACGGAGAAAGCTCAACTGCCGGGCTGAATACCCTAGCCCAAAAAGGCTAACCTTGAGGTTTAGGGTTTAGGGTTTAGGGTTTAGGGGTTTAGGGTTTAGGGTTTTCTTTTTTAAAGTGTGTTGGGCCTTTCTCTCTGCAAGCAGGTCGATTGGCTCACTCTTTTCGAGTGCACACTGAAATAAAAGCCTAAGCCAGGGTTTAGGGTTTAGGGCTTTTTTTGCAATTATCGTAGATTATATAAGCCCCAAAAGCTTACAGGCTACCTCTACTACTAGTTCAAGGTTCACAGGTTCTTCTCTTTGGAGTTCTGCGTCCGCTAGGACTAGAACGCCTGGAAGGCTGAGCCTCTGGGCCTTATAAACGACTCCGATGCATCCTAAGCCCTAAATCAACTCAAGACCAAGACCCTACAAACCCTAAGCCCTTGAAACCCATCAAAATACCCAACTAGATGAGGCTTCGGACCAGACAGCTCGCGCAAACGAACGGTCATTAAATTTTAGGGATTTGGGGATTCGGGTTTCAAGGCTTAGGGTGTCATGGCCAGGGCTCAGTGTTTTAGCGTATCCTGGTAACCGCCATAGGAGACATGTGAACATATCCCTACCTAGCTCTGGATCCGGGTCACGATGTGTCAACTTCTTGGAAGCTATGCAAGGTCTAATCAGCGCTGAGAGCGAGACTCCCAAAACCAACACAGCTAAAAACAGCAGCCAAAAACACACAGCCCTACTTCTTCATTCCCAACCTTTTAAGCCCTGGGCCCGAGGACTTGCGGAACCCAAACCCTAAACTCCCAGCAAGCACAGGGGAGGCTCGGACAGCTGGCGATCCAAGAGGGAGATGTAGCGCTGAAGCCTCGGTCTACCATAGGCTAGAGAAGGCTTAATTAATAGCATGGGTTCTGGAATAGTCGCTGGAAGGGCTAAATACTGCTGACTGAAAGGGTTCAAACATAGGGGCCTTGACAATTAGAAACAAGTTTTGGTGTATGTCATCCGTATTGTAATGGGGACGGTAGGGGGATAGTGTGATCAAGTATTCAGGCATTGCGCTCACAGAAAGATTTCTCCTTTTCCCCTGGCGGATGCTGTGAGGGAGAAAGGTGTGGTTCCGGGGTTTGGGGTTCCTAAAACATCAGAGGCTTTTGTCTGCGAAGGTGAACGGTGCAGAACTGGCGGGGCCTTATTTTGGGGTCCTTACAATACGGATCCTACTATTTGGGGTGCTATATTAGGGTCCTCTATTTTCGGCATCGCTCACAGACATGCAGCTAAATACTGCTACTGATGGCTCAAGGCCCCTGCAAGACAAACGTAGACAAACAAAATTTGAACCATACACCTTAAGGAGCCGTAATACAGCCCGGCTTTATCATAAACAATAAACTGACAATATAACTTAAATAACCTTACAGGAAAACATGGTCCAACTGCCCTCTTGGGCAGTTGGCGCCTTCTGAGGTGCCGTCTCCTCTCGCGTGGCATTGCCATCAGAATGGATGGAGAGGACCAGCTGCACCACGTCCTCGAAGCGGCGGAGCTTTTAGGGTTTGGGAGCTGAGGGTTTAGGGTCTGGCTTCAGGATTGCATAGGCGACTACGATACCGAATAATTTGGCGGCGGTCATACTCAGACAGCTCATCCTGCGCAGCGTCTTGATAACCTCTGTCAGATGTGTCTCTGCAGCATCATCCCCAGCTCATCCTACATGGGGAGTTGTCAAAGTTATGGTCCCTTTTTGGGTACCCTAAATAATAGGTGCCGTATCATAGTGGAGACCCAAAAAGGTACCATAAGTTTGACAACCACCTACATGCATTCCCGGTCGTCGTGGTGCCATCGATGTTTATCCTCTCCCTGTTGTCCTGTTTATCCCCGCCAACCCGTCCTCCCCCTCCTGAGCATCATGGTTCCCATGGTCGTCTTCATTAAAGAAGCATCGTCATATCACCACCGAGTCAAAGATCGTCACAGTCATCGCCGTCAACTTCATCAGTTCATTCTTCTCATAGCCGTCGTTACCAAAACCCGGGAGCACGAATACGAGCCACCGTCGCCGCGGGCATTAACCATGCAAGCACGGCGGCAACCACCGCCACCGACCGCCACCACGACCGCAATCCCTCACCAGCACCACCACAACCACCACCTTAAACTACCATAACCTACTTTTTTGTAGGTTCTTATTATAAACCCTAAAAGGGGATTTATAGGGACCCTACAAAAAAGTAGGTTTTGGTGGGTTAAGACAGGGCCAATACCAGCACAATCACCATCAGTGCCACCCGCACTGCACCGCCGGCATTCAGGTCACGTCAGAGTTTGAGGGCTGTCTGCCGGGATCCGTACTATAGGAGCCTAAATAACTACCTATATTACTTTGGGGGGTTCCTTATTATAGTTATAGTATAATTTGCCCCAAGAGCCTACTCTAATGATTAAGGCCCCTATATAGTATGCTCCCGAAGAACACTCCTGTTCAAGAAGCCCTGTGTACCCAGTGTTCAGTCTCGTCTCACAAACCACGGAGGAAGCAGCTTCCGGATTAAAAGTCTGAGTTGGGCTTTGCAAGTTGGGTTTAGGCTTTTGGCATATTTTGACATCAGCGAAATTCAAACCTGTCTTCGAAGTTGTGATACATCTGCTTCCATGTCCGTGCAACCGGCATGCAATATAAACCTCGGTGGTCCTCCAGCTTGTAGGACTTCTTCTTCGACTGCAGAGCTTGCGCCATTTCATTCTGCTTCCTGCAGTCGGACAAGTGCTTCGCACAACGCCGGTATCCCTAAGCCCACAGCTTGACGAACTAAACACATATAACTGCTATGTCCTGTTATATGTACTATAGTGAACTGCTTCAATAGTTGCAGTCTGCTTTCGGCACCTATCTTGCTTGTTCTCTGTTGGTGTATGTTGGCGTATACCTAAGTTCATATGATCGGCTATACCCATGTACAACCATGCGCAGATTAAACACACACACACACACACACACACACACACACCCGTGCGCGCGCGAATTCACACGCACCGCGAACCCCAAAAAACAAAGCTCCCAACACCCCAAACCATGGTACCAATCGAATCTTGTCTAAGAAGCGGTTGACGGAACTTCGAACCCTACTGTGTGGGCACTGGGACCCGTATGGTGGTAGCAAGCCCTAAAACACTCATTATTACACTCCTGTGAACCTCCTTGAAACATGAGCGGCTGGGCGGGGTATCCTGCGATGCTCCCGGACATCGAAGTCTTGGTTTTGCACCGTGGTGTTTCTTGCCTCGGTTTGCAAGTAAGTTAGGGTTTCGGATTTCAGAACTCCAACATCGAAAACCCCTGAACATCCCTAAACCCTGAACCCCGGTGCGGGGTTTACGGCTGTAGGGTTAAAGGGTCTCAGGGTTTGCAGTTTTGGGGCTTCTTGCCTGTGAATCTCAGATCGGGAGCCTTTTGAAAGGGTGGCTCTTGAGGGCTCGTAGACCCGGGCTTCGAAGTTGATTAGAACATATAATACTATACGAAGGAAACCTCCAAAATAGTATCGGTAATATGCTAGGCTCCTACATTATGTTATAACTCTTCTAGAACAACCAGTACAAGGGGTTTGTGGTTTATGGTTTAGGGCCTAAGGTGTAGCGTTTAAGGTCCACTGCTTAGAGTTTAGGGCTTTGGGGATCAGGGTTTATGACTTTGGGCCAGAACCGAAAGCCTTTTGAAGACGTGTGCTGCTTGTGTATGGGATTTTTTTGGGAGTTTCCGAAAACTAGGGGATACTTCATTTTGGTGCCCCTTATAGTAAGGGTCCTACTATTTAGGGTACTATACATATTAGGGTCCCCTATGCTCGGAAACTCCCATATTGGGCTTTACAATGCTGCTCAGCGTCTGCAAAAGGGTTTGCGTAAGGTTCTTGAATGGGCACGAAAGGCTCCTTTTACAGGGTGTCATGGTTTGTCACTCTGCGAGTGCTACAGAAGCAGGTTTCTGGCGTTTTCTCGGCAATGTGTGCACCTTAAGCTCTGGAAGCGCCCGAAAAGGGTGTTCCCGCTTTGGATGAAACTTGCAACACCTAACCGAGGGTACTGGTTTGTGGAAATTACCACATGCAACTGGTCTATACCCCCCAGTAGAACCATAATGAAAAAACAACATGTTCAATATTCTCCAGGGTTTTATATGAACAACACTTCCTGAGGAGACTATAGCTGTGATGGTGTCATGGATTTGTTTGAGTGCCGCCCTCGGTCCGGTCACGACCGGGAACAAAGCAGAGGCCTCAGACTCTACTATAAGGGCCTTAATAATTAAGTATGTTAGTTTGGGAGTTCCTTGGTATACTTATAGTATACTGGGCCCCAAAGCCCTAGTCTAATTTTTAAGGCCCCTATCATAGCCCAGCACACCGATTGAAAGAAACCATCTGCGGAGGATCTAGCACTCCACGGAGCCTAGAATCTTACAGTATGTATTAGAAGCTGCCCCCACCCTGTCATAGTGACTATAAGGATTATATTAGGGCCCTATTATATTCCTATTATACCACGATTACAGGGTGGGGGCAGCTTTGAAAGTATGTACCGCAAAGCCTGAATCCCAAGAGGCTTAAAGCCGGGAAACCCAAACCCTAAAGCCATCTTCAAAAAGACATCTGGCAGGATGCATGCGAACCGATAAATCAAAGCTCGAGGTCCGGACCCCTTGAAAGACAAAGGGACACAAGATAGGGTACCCTTCCGAGGATCCGTAGCATGATGGGTACCTTGTCCCTCCACTCTATGAACCCATTTAACAGGCTGAAACCCAAAAACAAAACCCAAACACCGACGGAGCCCGAAAAGGACCCCGGCCGCCATGGCTGCGGAGCAGAAAAGTCTGGCTGAAACCACGCGGCACGGTACCCCAAGCCCTATAGCGTAGCATTTCAAGCATACAATTATGTAGACTGTGCCTACAGCTCCGGCTACCTGATTAGTAGGCTACTGGTCTCCTTATTATTGCCCTAGTGGCTATTCAACTGGAGCCCATGGGGTAGGCTTCCGTCATCATAGGGTTTAATTAGGGTTTTCAGTTTACCATTGCAAAACATCATGCAACAAAGGAAGCTCCGGCAGAGCCCAGGCGATTCTTGGGAGACAGGATGGCGCGTTGAATGGATATCTGCGCATTCCAGATGCTTGGTACCTTCGCGCCCGCACAGAGCCAACGAGGCGGCGAGTTCGGAACTCTGCTGCAAAGCTGGGGCTTGAGGGCTTTGAGGTTGCCTTTGAAAAAGAGTAGTATGCTCCCTAATTACGCCCCAAGATTTATCCTCAGCCCTAAACTTCCCTAAACTATACCCTAAGCCCATAAACTCTAGCTCAAGAGTTGATGTTCTGGCGGAAGGAAAGGAGAAGCAGTTGATTCAAGCCTCGGAGCCTCCCCAGAGCAGGACGATGTTCTGGGCACACGGGCGAGGATGACCGTAAAGTTCGGGGATCTTCGGAATCAAAACAGGGTTTGGGTCCAGTAAAGTCCAACACGTGTAATAAGGACGCCCCAAAAAACAAAAAAACATATATAGGTACAAATGGCCGCTACATCACTACGGATGCAACGAGCTATCTTCATCGTCGTGACCTTACCATAACAATGGCAAAAACAAATCTCTTCCTTCTTGTTCAAAGTCGCAGTAGCAACAGCATAATCAGCCCTCGAAGCGAGCCTGTAAGCAAAAACATCACCTTTGTTAAGCCCCTCTGCAAAGCTGTCCTAGGGGGGCAGGCTGGAACATGCACGCCGGACTGCGGTCACTATGAGCCAAAAGCTAGTTCGAACCAAGGTTGAAATTGAAGGCCTGAGAAGCTCGAAATGCAGGGCAAAGCAAGGCCTCTGCAGGTGTCACTTGTCCAGGTTCTCAATCAATTTTTCTGTGTTATCATTCGCGCCACTGAGTGTGCACTCTGCTTCTGGACAAGGAGAGTTCAGAGCGCGGGTCATTCACACCGACAAAACGCAGCAAATTGTAGTGTATTACAGTGAGAAATAGTATATTCATTAAAACATGACAGCATAAAATAATAAATTAGAATGTATTAGACTATGTTGTCGGGAATTGCTAGTTGGAGTGTGTCCTGCCTCATTACTTTAACCCTACAGGAAGCCCGCCTTAAATCCTGAAAACCTAACACCAGAAGTGTAAGGTTCGAGAGGACTCCGGTTGGGGTAAAGGGTAGTCTGATGAAATCCCTGAAACCACCAAAAGAGTACAAGCGGCCACTGGGAGACCTAGCGCCCTAAAGCAGCAAAGCAACAACCAAGACAAATCAACACATGTCTCAATGCTAAGCCACTAAGCCTCCGGTGCTTGCAAGGACAACCGCTGTGAACTAGGGCCCCTTGCCGGCACAAGTACTTACAGTGCTTGCACTGCCGCTTGCTTGGATAAAGTACTAATTGTCGCGAGCCTTGTTTCGGCTGCGGTTTGGGACCTGCTTACCTTACCATAGGATTTTGCAGGTGAAAAAACGACTAAAGCCGAAAATGCAGGTGAAAATCATCCAAAGTGTTTATCGAAAAACTAAAATGCGATAATTGGGGTGCCCCCCGGCGGGGTGCCATAGACTCCCCCGCCTGCCCCGGCCCACCAGACAATGCACAACCAGCAGCAAAGCACAAGACAACTGACAAAACATCATGGCATTACTGGGGCAGGGGTGGCCCAGGCCAGGGTCCAGCTAGGACAGCAACTTCCGCATAACTTCTGCATAGACCCCCTGGGTCTATGCAGATTATCGCGCATGCAGAAGTTGTGCTCTTAGTTAGTTAGCTCTTAACTTCCGCATAACTTCTGCATAATTATCGCGCTTATGCAGAAGTTGCGCGATAGTTATGCAGAAGTTATGCGGAAGTTACGCGGAAGTGGCCGTCTTATGCGGCCGGGAGGACCGTTATGCAGCGACATCCGCTATAAATCGCATAAGGCCCCCCCGGGCTGCATAGGACAGCAACTTCCGCATAACTTCTGCATAGACCGCCTGGGCCTATGCAGATTATCGCGCGGACCCAAACCCAACTTCTGCATATATGCAGAAGTTGTGCTCTTAGTTAGCTCTTAACTTCCGCATAACTTCTGCATAATTATCGCGCGTATGCAGAAGTTGCGCGATAATTATGCAGAAGTTATGCGGAAGTTATGCGGAAGTGGCCGTCTTATGCGGCCGGGAGGACCGTTATGCAGCGACATCCGCCATAAATGCCGTAATTTGCATAAACGTCCGTCACGGCCCACGGAAACCCTAGACGGTCACACGCCGGTGAACTTGCCCAGAATCTCCAACTCCAAACCTAGACCAGACCTCTGCACTAAAGCTTAAACCCTAAGCACCCAAGAGAGCACAAACCCAAACTCCCAACCCCCAAACCCTAACACTAAGCCCTAAACCTCTAAACCCGTAAATTCCCGCAAACCCAAACCCAAGTAGTGGTCGGAGTAGTAGTAGTAGTAGTAGTAGTAGTAGTAGTAGCAGTAGTAGTAGTAGTAGCAGTAGTAGTAATAATAGCAGTAGTAGTAGTAGTAGTAGTAGTAGTAGGAGTAGGAGTAGTAGTAGTAGTAGTAGTAGTAGTAGTAGTAGTAGTAGTAGTAGTAGTAAGTAGTAATAGTAGTAGTAATAGTAGTAGTAGTAGTAGTAGTAGTAGTAGTAGTAGTAGTAGTAGTAGTATTAGTAGTAGTAGTAGTAGTAGTAGCAGTAGCAGTAGCAGTAGTAGTAATAGTAGTAGTAGTAGTAGTAGTAGTAGTAGTAGTACTAGTACTAGTACTAGTATTAGTACTAGTACTAGTACTAGTACTAGTACTAGTACTAGTACTAGTACTAGTACTAGTACTAGTGTTAGTCTTAGTACTAGTATTAGTGTTAGTATTAGTATTTGTATTTGTATTAGTATTAGTATTAGTATTAGTATCAGTTTTTGTTTTTGGTATCAGTATTTGTTTTTGGTAGTCTTAGTGTTAGTGTTAGTATTAGTACTAGTATTAGTATTAGTATTAGTAGTAGTAGTAGTAGTAGTAGTAGTAGTAGTAGTAGTAGTAGTAGTAGTAGTAGTAGTAGTAGTGTTAGTATTAGTATTAGTATTAGTATTAATACTAGTATTAGTATTAGTATTAGTGTTAGTATTAGTATTAGTATTAGTATTAGTATTAGTATCAGTATCAGTATCAGTATCAGTATCAGTATTAGTATTAGTTTTAGTATCAGTATGAGTATTAGTATGAGTATTAGTATGAGTATTAGTATCAGTATTAGTATTAGTATTAGTATTAGTATTAGTATTAGTATTAGTATTAATATTAGTATTAGTATTAGTATTAGTATTAGTATTAGTATTAGTATTAATATTAGTAGTAGAAGAGCCTACTACCCAAAATCTTGAAACCTTACCCTAATCCCCAAAACCCTAAACCCTTAAACCCCAAAATCCTAAATCTCAGGCTGCTGCTGGATCTCAATGCGCAAACTCCCCCCTTCCCCCTCCGGTTATGCTGCGGGGCCCCCGGTTATACAGAAAAACTGCTTCAAAAACGAGCATGTGCGCAAAATCAAACAAAAAATAAAAAGCAAAACTCGTAAAGTGAATACTTTCAATGTGATTTCTGGAAGGGGTAGCTTTTTACACAGTGGATTCTCTTACATAGTGCCGAAACAAGGCTCGCGAAAATTAGTAGTACAAACCCAATTTCCCAGAACATGCCTCGCTGTCGCTTTCTTCCTCCTAGCCAAATCCAGCTTGTATAGAGCTTGGTTTCGCGTATGTGTGCTGGTCTGCTAGGTTTGGGGCTTTCTTTTACTTAAGGCGTTCCAGGGTCTGGCTCGCGAAAGTCCGAAGCCTCAACACCTAGCCTGTCCTTCCACGAACTTTGCATCTGAATCCCTCTGATCTGTTCTACATCCCCAAGACACTGTATGCATCCGAAACGACAAGCCGCTCGAGCAAGTTTGTAATTACACTTTCGACAATCCCCAGCTCTGAAACCTTTCTAGGCGCGATCTAGATCGTCTATACCCCAGCCCAGCAACCCAAACAGGAGCTGGAAGAGGAACTTCGAGATGGCAAGAAGCGCGAGGATTGTGATGCCGCCCAGGCCGAGTTGCCAATGTAGGTATGTATTAAGAAACAAATCAAACCCCATATCCCTTCAGGAGCTGCACTTCGATCCGTACGTGGAGTCGCTGGAGACTCTGCCAGCGACCTGACCGCATCTCACTCTGTCTCTGTCTCGCTATCTCTCCTCTCTCTCTCAATTCCTCCCTCTTTGCCTCTGATACACGACCTTCACAATCAGCACGTCAAGATTCCCCCAAGCTACTGACAGTCAGTTGCTGGAAGCTTATGATTACACTCTGGATAGTGGAGATGATGCCTGGCAGCACTCTCTACAGCGATCGATATATCCAGCAGTTTGCAAGCATACATATATATATATATATATACCTGTGCAACCTAAGGAGATTGCGAAATCATCAGCAACCTGCAGAAGATGATCCCTCCTCGGGTGACAGCTGCAAAGTCCGAGCCTGCTGTGAAGGAATGTCAGGATGCCAGTGCCTCCGACAGTGCACAGAGAGCTGTGTCTGCAAGGGCCATTGCAAGACCCACACGCAATCTTATGGTGAAGCTTGAGAAACCCTCGGAGTCTCAGGTTGGGAACGGACCCAGCCCTGCTGAGGATCCCTCGAAGGAGTCTCAGGTTGGAAAAGTCACCAGCCCTGCTGAGAAACCCTCGGAAGCGTCTGCACCTGGAAGCAGAAGCAGCCCTGCTGAGAAACCCTTAGCAGAGGCTGAAGAAGTACACGCCTCTGCAGATGAGGGATGCGAGGCT